TCACCAGTGGCTCCTGCTTGGCTCAGCCTGGCCGCTTGAACTGCTTTTCCCTGCTCCAGCTAGGCCAGGTCCCAGAAGTACTGGTGTGTGGGTTAGAGGCCACTCTGCCTCCAGGCCAATAATCACTGCTGGACCTTCTTTTATTCTGCCTTCTTAGTAGAGAAGCTGCCAGTGACTACTGGCTATGACAGTCCATTGCTAAGTTCTTGTGCTATAAAGGCCACAGCTCAATCTCCTTCCTCAGGAAAATATCTAGGTTCTTCCACCAGTGACAACCAGTTCAGAGAATATGGACAGGCTGGATCAATGGGCCAAGGCCAGTGGTATGAAATTCAATGAGGCAAAGTGCTGGGTCCTGAACAACCCCATGAAATGCTCCAGGAGTGGGGAAGAGTGGCTGGAAAACTGCTCATGGAAAATGACCTATGCTGGGGTGCTGATTGACAGAGCTGAACATGAGCAGCTTGTGCCCAGGCAGCCAGGAAGCCCCCAGCATCCTGGCCTGGATCAGCACCAGTGCGGCAGCAGGGCCAGGGCAGGGACTGTGCCCCTGCACTGGGCACTGGTGAGGCCGCACCTCGAATCCTGAGTTCAGCTCTGGGCCCCTCACTACAGGAGAGACATTGAGGTGCTGGAGTGGGGCCAGAGAAGGGCAGCGGAGCTGGTGCAGGGCCTGGAGCCCAAGTGTGATAAGGAATGGCTGAGGGACATGGCAGGGGGATTGGCCTGGAGACAAGGAGGCTCAGGGGAGATGTACTGCAACCTTTCAATACTTAAAGGTGGCTTAAAAGAAAGATGGGCAGGACTTTTTAATAGGGCCTGTAGCGATAGCATAAGGGGTAATGGTTTTAAACTAAAGGAGAATAGATTCAGACTAGATATAACAAAGAATTCTTTTAGTGAGGGTGGGTTACAGGGTGCCCAGAGAAGCTGTGGCTGCCCCATCCCTGGCAGTGTTCAAGGCCAGGTTGGATGTGGCTCGGGGCAATCTGATCTGGTTCAAGATGTCTCTGCTTGTTGTGGGTGCTTGGACTAGATGACCTTTAAAGGTCCCTTCAACCTTCCAATTTCTAACCTGAGGATGTATGGGCTGAAGGAACAGAGCAGTAGGTGAAAATTGGCTGCACCTCTGGGCTCAAAGGGTAGTGATCAGTGACTCGATACGGAGTTGGTGCCTGCAAGCCAGGAAAGCACAGCAAGCATTGAACTGTGAGCCAGTGCTGTGCAGTATGGGGACACAGAGTGCAAGTTTGCAGATGACACTTGGAGGAGTGGCTGATATGTTGCATGGCAGAACTTTGGTCAAGAGAGATGTCTAGAAACTCAAAGAATTGGATTAGCAGAAACCTCATGAAGTTCAGTGAGGAGAAGTACAAAGTTCTGTTCCTGAGGCAGAATAGCCTGTAACTGGTCCAGGGTGGGAACCAACCGAATTGCACTCCTGCTGAAAGGAACCTGGAGGTAGGGGTAGAATCAAGAATCCTAGTTTGCTCTCGTTGCAAATGAGGCGAACAACTTCCTGCACTACACAGGAGAAGGGTGAGCAGCAAATCAAGGGAAATAATTATCCCCTCAAGCTGGGAGGTGGTGAAGCCACCCTGAAATCCCGGCTACATTCCTGGCACCCCTGTTCATGAGGAATATGGAAAAACTAGCAGAGCGGTAAGGGCCAGGCACACATGACAGGTAGAAAGAGGCACTGAAGAAGCTGGGCTTGCTCAGGCTGGTGATGAGTAGCTTAAGGGTCTTCTTAATGGCATCTTAATGCTACTTTAGGACATGTTAAAAAGATGATGGCACCAATAGAACAGTAACAATGGGCACAATTACAGCCTGGGAGATTCAGAGTGAACACTGGGGGAGGTGTTTTTCACCAGGAGAATTGTGCAGCCCTGGAAAAAGCTACCCAAAGAGGCTGATCACATTTGCCATTTATTGTCATGTTTTGAAATTATCATTTCCCTTTAAAATCTGCCTTGAATCCTTCACACTACTGCAAGCAATCTGCATTTTCCATGGACATTCACTTCACTCCTCCTTTCTTCAGTAATCTGTGATGTTTGTCATTCTTCAACCCCAGGCACTGCCCCACATCATTAAACAGCCCTCCTCTCAGACTTGCAGTTTGTGCACAAGTGTTGTTTCTACTTAGGAATGGAAATCAGTGCATTCCTTTTCCCAGTAAATTCTAATTTACTATATATTCTTGATCCCCCTTGGCAAAAGAGGGGTGAACAGATCCGTATCATGTGCTTGGCCTTCAGAGAGATCTTCAACAGTCTTTCTGACATGCACATACCTTTGAAGCTGTATGCGGACTGATAGAAAAATGTAAGTTAACCTATACCTTGTAAGAGCAACTCAGATACAGAAACAAGAGCAGAAATCTGCTATTCAGCTATTCAGGGCAGAAGTTTACTGGTAGTAGTAAAGGTTGGGACAGGACTGCTGTATCATGCCTTTCGATAGAAATAACATGGAGACCAGAGTATGGAGAAGGGGGCACATTGTGAAGGTGACTCTGGATTCATCAGTGCTATGGTGAACTTGAGAAATGGCAATAATGTAGGAGCCAGTGAAACCGAGCAAACGGAGTCAGTAGTGACCGGAGCATGTCACTACAAGCACAGAAAACACACTCTGCGTACTTTGTGTTGTCCTAGAGCTACAGGCAAAAGCTGCACTGTAATGGGATGTTGTGCTCTCTCTCGTGTGGCTCTTCTGCCACCCTGACCCCGATCCTGGAGTCAAGCACATCCCCACCCTGACTGGACTCTCCATGTTCTCACCCTCATCCATAGCAGGTGGGAAGTGGTCTGTCAGTTTAGCACCTTCCTGCTAGGCGGCAGGCTGCTCCTGAACCAGACAGGAGCAACTAGCAGGGAGCCCGGCAGCACTAAGTTGCTCGGAGGCTTCCACGCTTGCAGGCTGAAGCCTAGCTCAAAAGTCCCAAACAGGAAATCCTTCTGGGATGTGCTTAGGCTCTGATTCCCGGACATTCACAGCAAGCAAAGGCTTCCTGCATTCAGAATGGAGGTTAAAAATAAAGGAAGGCAGGCACCTGCTAGGAACATCCATGGCTGGGAGAGAGAGAAGCAGCACAACTCTCCCTGAGACAGGAGTAAGGGCTTTGGGGTGAGATCCCAAGTTTGCCTTTACCATTTGGAATGCCCTTGAAAGCCATGAAATATAAAGGAGTTGCAAAAACATTTCACCTGGGAAATGGGGCTGGTCCCTTGGCTTTGCAGCTCTGTACTCAAAGCCTGGTCAAAGGAAATGCTGCTGAAGGCAACCTGACTTAGATTGGAAGCTTACAGTGGAAGAGCTCTGCATCTCCTGCTTGTCAGGATGGACACAAAGCTCCTGTCACATAAAGGTCCTGCAACAGGCACGTTTCTGTGTTACAGGGTTTGTTCATGAGCAGCCTGGAGCCTGAATGCCAGGTCCTCCCCCTGCACTGCATGTGGTGGGCAGTTAGGGTACAGCAGGTTGAGTTTTTGCCTTCTCTTTACCTTGGAAATGTGCTGAAGCTCAGGAGTGTTGGAAGCAGCTGGACTGAGCAGTGGTCTTAACATCACACTACATTATGCCTGAAGGAAGGATGCTGAGCCATCACCTCCCCTTGCTACCCATCTTTCTCATGGTAGCCTGGTAAGGACTCCCCACAGCCTATTTTCCATGGCTCTTTTTTGTACAGTCCTAAGTGCTCTGAACACTCAGTTGTCCACCTTGCCTCTTTTTTTAGAGGAATTCTCTATGACAGCAAAACCTGTGAAACAGTTGGACTTAAAATGTTGCTCCTTGCTGCCTCCTTGTCTTGAACTTACATTACTTACATTACACCATCCATCTTGCAGGCTGGGAGTTCCAGTGCTCATCATTTCACCTGTCCCAGGCCTGGGCTTGTTCTTAATTTTGCCAGTTCCTTGCATTCCCAACCAGCAGCTCCCTTGGTAGCTCAGCACGGGACTTCTCAAAAAGCTCATTTGGTATTATTGTAAGTTATAGCAGCATCTAAAGGTTAAGACTACAAGTGCAGCAATAAAACAATTCATGCCCAGAAGAGAAAACAATCAAAAGTGAAGACAAGTAGGTAGATACAACAAGGAACATGGAAGCGTAAGGCTACAAGTGAGACAGCAGCTATATTCTTTGCAGGTACTTCCTAAAGAGCAGAGCAGGGGCAGATTTTAAACAGCAGGAAAAACAAACCCAGGGCTGTCAGCTGCTTTATTCCTATCCCTCACAGAGGGTTCCACTGAGCACAGGAGCCCCTGTCATGCTCAGCAGATGTGCACCTTCAGGTCCTCCCATAATGAAGACTTCATAAACCTGCCAGTCCACCGATTCAGTGCTAATTTCTCTTTGCTATTATTTAAACCCATTCTTCCTTGTACTATCTTGTACATTCTATCTTGTACTATCCAGTGTCATGAACACTGGAAATAGATCGTTCTCTTTGCAACTGTCTTTTACAAATCAAGGTGGTTCTCATATCTTCTCACTTTTCTTCAAGTTAAACTGCCCCAGAGAATTTAATCTTCACATCCTGTATTTTCTCAACCTCCAGCCGTCTCCTCTGGACTTTCTCAGATTTGTCTACATTCTCTGAAGGGCCCTAAGACTGGTCCCAGTACTGTGGCTAAGGGCCTTATCACAGCAAAGCAGAGCCAGAAATGTTACTTCATGCATCCTGCCAGTTATATTCCTGTTTATATCATCTCATATGATGTTACATTGGTTTTGCAACAACATGCCCATAGCTGATTCATATTCAACCTGTGGCTAACTATAAACTAAACACTGAGAACTACCGTATAGACGTTTGTTTCTCAGTCTTTATCTGTACATCTTACTATTCCTACCAAGTGGATAATCTTCCTACAAGGAATAATAATAATTTTAATATTTCTATCATCAATGCTTGTTCAGTATCTTGACTAAGAATCTGTAAGGAAGTATGGACTGACCAAAGAGAAACACACAGAACAATAGGGAAATTATATTACTGCAGCTTTAGTGATGCTAATTTGATGTTCAATATTTATAAAGACTGCAGAAAACTCGAAGCAGTCAGAGTCATAAGAAGGAGTCAACATCAGCAGAACAAGTTTCCACATGGAGAACTTCAGAAAAATTAAAAATACAAGTGATTTCTAAGGGTCTGTAAGAAAGAATTTTTTTTCCACTGTGTGTAATGTTTCAATCTAGCAAACAAACAGGAGCACTGGGGTGGAATGGCCATTATACAAACTAAAGTAAAGAGCAACAGTTCAACTGAAGGAGGAATTAATCACTAGAATAACTAAGAAAAAGGCATAAGAGGTCCCTAGCAGTCCAGGTTGTCCATCTTTGGCTGAACAGGGTGCTGGGCCGTCTTGTCTCTTTCCCAAGAGAGATTGGACCAGATGATCCTTGCTGTCCCTGGCAAGACCCACTCCAAGCTGGTATTGTGGTGTTCTGCCTTTCTCAAGAGATGTGCTAGCTCAGCAGATGTTACATGGTTTGAAAAGGAGTCTCTCCTTGAGGTTCTTTGAGCTTTGTGATTCCCAAAAGGCACCCAGACCTCGTGGCTGAACTGCCCTGTGTATGCTGCTTGCCCCAGCAGACACCTTCCAGAGAGACAACTAAACTGTGTCAAACCAAAGAATGATTTTTATGACGAGAAATAGGAAGATGACAATGAAACCATTTAATCCATTTTAGTTTGTGAGCCAAGACAAAACTGAAATCAGCATTTCCAGAGCAGGGAGTTGACTGAGCTGAGCCCTGTGCTACTGACGGCTCTACTTCCTGTCCTGGCTTCTTCCATCCTCCTCTTCTGGAAGCTCTTCGTCCACGTTTCTGCACCAGGGTGACCTCATTTGGCAGCAGCCTCTGCAAACTTAACGCTGACTGAAGCGCACCATTCTCATAGGTGCCTCTTAGAAAGCTGCTCACCAAGGCCTGGACTTCCCCCCTGCTAGCAAACAAGTCTCCTTCTATTCCCCTGAAAATCAGCTGGGAGGAAGTGAGATGGGGAGGTGGTTTCCGAAATCCTGTGGATTGTGATTGCAGACAGCCTCAGGACCCGTGCAGTGGGGGTGGGGAGCACAGAAGCTGCATCGGGAATCCAGATTATTTTCATGTGAGGTGAACACATGCTTCTGATCAGCAGAATTCACAAACATGTACAAGCTTGATGGCAAAGGGCCTGTTGGAGCTTTTAAAAGGAAGAAAACAATTTGAGGAATATCCCTTCCCAAAGAACATGGGTTTCGCTTTGGAGGAGCTTTCTATATATAGTGAGGTGATTATTTCAGAATGGAAAATGTTTGTTCAGGAAGGAAAGGCTCTGAGATCAGCAGAGTCGAGTCTCACCCACAAGCTATCGACTCCACTGGACTCTTCTGCCCAGCAGCAGGGAGCTGGGAGGAGTCTGCAGGGGAATGGGACTGTCCAGCAATCCCCCACCTGTACCTGAGTGCTTGCCTCGGGAGCATGGGGTCAGGCTCTGGGCTGTCACAGAGGGGCAGGATGTGGAGTAAGATCTGATGATTCCAACAAGAAAAACACAAATGCAGAAGGTCTGACCTTCTTTTTGCCTTAGACAAATGAAGTTTATCATCCACAGCCAATGCACGCTGGGAGGCAACAAGATATCCTACCAATACACTCTGCTCCTGCACGCCAGCAAGCAAACTGGCAACAGCGCACACTGACCAAACAGCCCGTTCTAAATATGCTGCAGGCATATATAGGGTCTGAACTGCACTAAATATACCTGCCACAAATAGGCACGGGAAGCTGCGGTTCTTAAAGTAGAAAGGGTGACACACCAAGGCACCCTGCTACCCCACCGACAGGAGGGATAGGAACTGGTGTGATACATCTCCATCTAGTGGACATATATTGGTTACACAATCTTAATCCATGGGTAGCAGCTGCAGCATGGCTTGTGAGCCCGGACACAGACCAGTTTGTAGGATAAATTTACAGTGTACAAACTATTAACCTCCCCCCCAACCATTAACTTTCAGTTTAAGCTGCTATAATGTACGCAGTTTAACACAGACGTTACCATTAGGTAACATCAACTGCTCTAATGCAATTCACATAGGTTAAGAATACCACACACTTAAAAAAGTTACAGAGATCTCCAGGTTAAACCGCAGCCATGCAGCTCCTCCACAGAAGAGTCAAGCTGGACCTAACCATCAAGTTATTCTGCTTTACATAACCCTTGAGGGACATAACTGACCTTCCAGAACGAAGAAAATGAGTTTTGTTTATGAGTCAACTTAATGAGTCTTAAATATCTAAAAATAAGCCAGGCCACTGTGAGGCTCTGGGAGAGGGAAGAAGGGAGAGGTAACCCAGGAGGAATATCATGATCTTACACAAGCAAGAAGACAGGGGATCAGGAGACACAATGCCCACCTGGAGTCAAATCTGGCAAGAACTGTGAAGTGCAACAAGAGAGCCTTCTGCAGTGGCATCAGCAGCAACAGGAGACTGACTAAGGAAAACACGGGTCCACTGCTACCAGCACCCTGGTGACAAAGAACACAGAGAAGCAGCCTTCAGGAGTCCCTGTCGTGTAAGATCACCACATTTGTCAGGCACAATTTGCACTTAGTGACACTGTGTTGGCTGTCACTCATCCCCTCCGTATTGTCCATGTGCCTTAGCATAGTCTCCAGGAGGATCTGCTCCATGACCTTGCTGGACACTGAGGTGTGTCTGACCAGCTTGCAGTTACCCAGATCTTCCTTTTTCCCTTTTTAAAAATGGGGGTTAGGTTTCCCCTTTTCCAGTCAGTGGGAACTTCAAATATGATGGCCAGTGCCTTAGGAACTTCACCCACCAGTTCCCTCAGGACCCACGGATGCATCTCACCAGGTCCCATAGATTTGTGCACTTTCAAGTTTCTTAGATGACCTCAAACCTGATTTTCTCCTAAAGTGGCAGTTCTTCATTCTCCCAGTCCTTGCCTTTGCTCTCTGCTACTATTATATATTATTGGTCATAACAGACATGCCTCTTTTTTCCATGTTTCTTTACTGCATTCCTCACCTAAGGCACATCAGAGAGGTTTTACAATGCTGCCTAATGAATTTCTGAAAGGTGCTTAGATTTGTAAGGAAGGCAGTTATGTATATATATATAACTGTATATGTATGTATATACACACATATAACTGTTAATTTCCAGTTTTGTAAACTGGAAATTGCACCTTGTCTGCCCAAAGGCAATTTAGTGGCTACCAAAGACTTTTGTCATCAGTCATAGATAGGATCCTTCCCTGTTCATGTTCATCAAGAGAATATCTTAGAGGAGATGAGGATTATAAACTTTGAAAATTTAAATTTAAAATCACACTAGGGCTTGTGGAAAAAATAAAACAGAAGGAGAAGCTGATACTCTGCCTTTAACATCTGTGCCTCCATGCAATAGCTGTGACTTGTACAGTCTGCAGTTACAGAAAGTATCATGCAATTTAAACAGAAAGAGAAAAAAACATACCATGTAGGTGCTACTAAAGGTGTCCTAAGAAGTGCTTAACCCAGCTGGTTACTGGAGGTGTTCGAGGTCAGGTCAGATGGGGTTTTGAGCAATCTGATCTAGTGAAAGATGTCCCTGCCCATGGCAAGGAAGGTTGGACTAGATGATTTTTAAAGGTCCTTTCTAAGCCAAACCATTCTATGATTCTATGATTTTATGACTCTGATTATTCTTCCTGATGCCAGTGTACTAGATGACTGTCCTCTTACTGTTGAGTGGGAATGACAGTGTTTTGTGCTGTTGGAAAGCCAGCAGAATCCTAGAATCCTAGAATAGATGAAGATGAAAGGAATACCTGAAGGACTTCTAGTCCAGTTCCTTTGTTCAAGGCAATGTCAACTACAGCAGGTTGCTTAGGACTGTGTCCATTTTCGTTCAGAATATCAATAAGGCAGGAGACTACACAATATTCCTGCACAACCTGATCCAGTGTTTTACCTCCCTCACAGGAGAAAATCTTTTTGTATGTTTAAATGGAATCTTGTGTTTCAATTTGATGGTGTCAATGAGGTGGGATACCTTAAGGAACAGTGGGAAAAGTGGTTTATGTCCATATAACTGTTCTCCACAATAAATGAAGGAAAAACAGGACATAGAAAAGTAAAGGAAATAATGCTGAAAACTGAGGAAGTTCATTACAGTCCTTGGTTTTGCTCAGATTTATTTCACAATCAGGGATTGGGTACCTCCAAACCAGAATATATATGGTCATAAGAAGGATTGAATCACGGAGTAATTGAAGTTGTAAGGGACATTTACAACTAATCCACCTCCCCTGCTCAAAGCAGGGACAACTAGACCCTTCCTAAAGTTCAAGCAAACAATAACCACTGCTCTCCCCTTGTATGTCCAGTCATCTCATGGTAGAAGGACATCAGGTCAGTTAAGCTTTGCTGGCTGCTCCTGTTCACCTTCTTGCTTCCTTGGAAATAGTTTACAGGGACATTTGCTCCATCAGCTTCCCAGAGGCTGAGGTGAGGCTGATCAGCCTGTAGCTCCCTGGATCTTCTTTGCCTTTCCTGAAGACAGGAGTGATAATTGCTTTCTTCCAGTCCTCAGGAACACCCCAGGCACCAAGACTTGTAAAAGATAACGGAGAGTGGCCTCATAGTGCTGGCATCCAGCTCCCTCATCACTCGTGGGTGCATTCATTCAGGTCAGATTCAGTCATTTCTTCCCTCTCCATGAATTCAAAGCTAGCTTGAGCTTCAGTTTACATTGAAGTGTAAAGTGAAGTTCACTACTGTTTTTTTTTTTGTCTGGGCAGTCCCATAATCATGGAAATCTTTGCATTTGGCTCTGTTAAGAGCAAACTTGTTTGAGAGGATCCAGTTTACTAGTTCATTGTTTCTTACTTTTTCAGTGTATCATCTACAACTTTATCAGCAATGACTTTACTTTTAAATCACCAAAACCACTGAAGCAACACTGACCCTCAAATATTCCTTCTGACAAATTTTCTCACTGAGACATCTTAATATATTTAAAGCAAGTTTAGACAGATGCATCATGTTTTAATGGGAATATGAAGAAGTATTGAACTGTGGCTGCCCATCATCGTGACAGTGAGCATACAGAGACTAGTAATGGGAATCACATTCGTATTGAGGTTCAACTGTATGTTGCTGTATTACACTTACGTTGTGATTTCAGTATATGCTGTATCCCTCTGCTAAACAAATCCCAGTGTAATGTCAGATACCTTCGAGTAAGTAAATCTTTTGGCAAACGGTTTTAAACCCTCCTTTAATAGTGTGGCATATCTAAAAGAACTTGGTCAGAGAGTATCAGACCCTGACAACTGACCAAGCAAAATAGACATGGCTTTCCTGAACTGACAGCCCCAGTATGAAGTAGGGGATACACACAAACTGGATTGATCTAAAACCCCAAAGATAAGCAGCATTTGAATTTTCGCCCTGCAGCAATGTCAACTGGCAGTGCTGCGTTGCACTGCTACTTGTGCATGAAGAGCTCTCAGAAATCACAGACAATCTATCTGTTGCTACTTGGGACTCATAATAGACTCATAATATTGTTGCTGCTTGGGACTCGTAATAGATCATCCCACAGACATCCCATTATCCCAAATATCTACATGATGTGTAGACACATGAAATTAGACTGCAGGTCTTAGAACTGCAAGACAGAATTCAACAAAATTCAAGGATCGGAGGTTTTCAAGGAGCAGAATATTCAGTGTTACAATAACATGGATTGCAAAAAAAAAAACACAAAAAAACCCAAAGCTTTAATTGTGGGAATGTGTCTGCTTTCAGCATAAGTCAAATCTGTACCCTGCAAACAGAAAAGGAGGGAGCTGGGAAGGGGAAATAGAGAATTTCTAAGTGACATAATTACTAAGTTATGTAAAAGTGAAGCCAAGGAAAAAGAAAGAATAAACCCCTGACAGCACAAAAGCATAAAAATGGCATGCTTTTGGCTTTGAAGTAAATTAAGAACAAAAGAAATCCAGCATAGAGCAGTTTTGTGAATTTATGTTATATGAAGATAGAAAAACTTTTAGTGATGCCAAGAAGGAATAGTTGGTCAAAATTCTCTTTTACATGTGTGAGATACAAGATGAAAACATTAGAAGATAATAAACAGTAGTCTAGCAATAATAAATGGCTTATAAGATCAATGGGCTAAACTGATTTGCACATACAAGTACAAAGAAGTTCACTGAGGAGATCTATAGCTCCTTGATACTGCATGAGCATGGGGCTTGAACCAGATGATTTCCAAAGGTCCCTTCCAACCTCAACCTTGCTGTGATTCTGTAGTTCTATGGCTACCATAGAATGGTTTGGGCTGGGAGGGACCTTGCAGCTCATCCAGTTCCAACCCCCTGCCACAGGCAGGAACCCCTTCCACTGGAGCAGCTTGCTCCAAGCCCCTGTGTCCAACCTGGCCTTGAACACTGCCAGGGATGGGGCAGCCACAGCTTCTCTGGGCACCCTGTGCCAGCGCCTCAGCACCCTCACAGGGAAGAGCTTCTGCCTAAGAACTGAAAAATTCTGCAGACTTTGGCCCTCCTCTGGCCTCGCTCCAGCAGCTCCACGTCCCTCTTGTGCTGCTGCCCCAGAGCTGAATCAGGGCTGCAGGGGGGGTCTCCCCATAGCGCAGCAGAGGGGCAGGATCCCCTCCCTGAGCTGCTGCTCACGCTCTGGGGGTGCAGCCCAGCACATGGGGCGGGGCGGGTGGGTGGTGTCTGGGCTCAAGTGCACCCTGAAGCAGGGTCATGAGGAGCTTCTCATCATCCAACACCACAAGGCCTTCTCCCCAGGGCTGCTCCAGCCCCTCTCCCAAAGCCTGTGTTGGTGCTTGGGATTGCCCTGACCCAGAGGCAGGACCTTGCAATTGGCCTTGTTGAACTCCTTGAGGTTCACATGGTCCCACCTCTCCAGCCTGTCCAGGTCCCTCTGGATCCCATCCTTTCCCTCCAGTGTGTCAACTGCACCACACAGCTCAGGGTTGTCAGCAAACTTGCTCAGGGTGCTCAATCCTACTGGCCATGTCACTGACAAAGATGTTAAACTCACGTTAGACCAAAGATCCATCTAGCCCAGTGTTCTCTCTTTGACAGCACAGACCTAGAAAAACATGAAAACAGAAGAAGCATATCATGACATTTCCACAGAACACCACTAGCAGCTTTGTGCACAGACCAGGATGCGCTCTTTGCTTTTATGAGAACGTGAAATACAGTTTCATGCTAGCTTAATTTTTGAAACAGGCAAATTACTGAGGACCTGGGCATAAATTTTCTCACATTAAAAAGTGTTCTTTCGTTTTTGTCACAAGTTTAAGAAGTGGTCACTGCATGTATACAGAGGATGTGAAAGGCACTCTGCATAAAGGTGGACATCAGTCAAAAAGGTGAAACATCCACTGGGTCTGTTCTTGATCTGGAGACTCTGAGCTCGTCCTGCACAGAAGGAGGGCAAGTTTTAATTCTGTGGGTATATCCTGATCATCACTGAGGGATGCTTAGCTACACTCTGGTGCTGCCACAGGGACTGTAGTAGTTTCTTTGCAGCAGTTCACAGAACCATTTGCTAGAGACAGAAAAAAGCTCCCTGGCCAGTGAATGACGCCCACTGGTAATGCAGGGCTATGCTGTTTCCAGTTCAAACGCTTTTGAGCTACACCATAGAATTTTGTAGCAAGTCACCTTCTACTTCTCCAGAGTCCCTCCTGTTGGAAGAGACTCGTTTATAACACTCCTTGTTTCTGTCTTTACTGTTGTGACATAATTCCTCTTGTTGCAATTCCTCTGTGACTCTTCACTGTGTGGGTCTTTTTCTTAGAACAGCAGCTCTTCAGGAGTTGCCCATTAGATGCTGCAGGGCAAGATTAATTTGTCACACTCAGGTACTGACCTGTCAGGAGGCAGAGCATTTCAGAATGGTCTTTTATTAAGGCTGACTTGAATACTGTGTGCCACTGCTACAGCTGTGAGGCTCTTGATCTAATGTGAATGCGGCTAAGAAAATGGGTGTGAGTAAGAAGGCAGAATAGTGGATAGCTATCACTGTTCATTCGGGATAGGTTTCTGTGTGAAGCATCTCTCCAGGCTGACACTGGAGAGACAGTTTGCTTATGCTTCTGCTTCCCAAAGTATGCTGTGTTAAGCTAGATGCTCTTTGATATCGTCTGCTCCTGGCATTCCCTTTCTTCTGTGCACACTGAAAGATGCCTGAGACTAGACTGAGGTCTTCAACATCCATTTTTCCTAGTCTAGACACGTGGATGTGCTTCACCAGTTACCTCTAACACTGAAAGACGGCTCACAGAATTTTCAATGCTTTTTTTTTGGCCTCAATTTTTAATGCTAACGATAGACCTTGGGCTGCCCGGTCCTCTCAGCTGGAGGACCACAACTGTGGAACAGTGACCTTCCTTTTATGGGCACTGAAATTGCTACTGAGAGGCATTTAAAGGGCAGTGCAGTTATCAGGTGCAGTCAAAATGGGCTCAAGAGGTGAAAGTCCTGTCTGATTAATTTGATACCCTTCTATGAGAAAGTCACCTGAAGTGGTGGATGTAGCTTTTCTGGGTTTTAAGGGTTTTGATATTGTCCTTCACAGTATTCTGGTCAAGTTGCCCAACTGTGAGATGAGCAAGTACACAGTGTGCTGGGTGAACAACTGGCAGGGATCAAAGGGATATAGTGAATAGGGTCACATCTGGCTGGTGACTGGACACCAGTGGTGCTCCTCAGGGCTCAATCTGAGGGCCAGCTCTGTTCAATATTTTATCAATGATCTGGATGCAGGAGTTGAATGCACCATTGGTAAGTCTGCTGATGATACTAAACTGGGAGGTGCTGCTGACTCTTGAGGAACATGAGGCCTTGCAGAGGTGTCTAGATGGACTGGAGGACTGGGCAGTCATCCATGGCATGAAGTTTAACAAAAGCAAACCCCATAATCTGCCCCTGGGATGCAGTCATGCCAGACACAAGTATAAATTAGGAGAGGAGTGGCTGGAGAGCAGCCCTGCAGAAAGGGGCGCAGGGATGTTGGTTGTCAGCAGGGTCAACAGAGCCAGCACTGTGCCTGGCACCTGAGAGGGCAAACTGCACCTTGGGATGCACCAGACACGGTATAACCAGCCAGTCAAGAAGAGGAGATTGCCCTGCTGTATTTTGTGATGGTGCAGCCTCACCTTTGGTACTGCAAGCAGTTCTGGGGTACCACAATTTAAGAAGGACGTGAAGGTGCATGATGATACTTGATGATACTTGAACGTGTCCATGCTGGCCCACCTCATCAACATGTATGTGCTGGAGAATGGGGTACAGGCTCCATGCCCTGCTTGGGCTTGGGGGAGCTCAAGGGGCAATTCTGGAGGGCAGCAAAGCTGATGAAGGGGCTGGAAGACATGTCCTGTGAGGAGAGGCTGAGGACCCTGGGTTTGTCTAGCTTGGAGGAAAGGAGGCTGAGCGGTAAATTCCTTGCTCTCTGCAGCATCCTGAGGAGGGGATGTGGAGGGGGAGGTGCTGATCTCTTCCCCCTGATATCCAGGGACAAAATGTGTGGTAACGGTTCAACGCTGCTTCAGGTGGAGGTTTAGACTGGACATTGGGAAGCATTTCTTTACAGAAAGGGTGGTCAGACACTGGCACAGGCTTCCTGGAGGTGGTTGATGCCAGTCAGTGTTGAAGAGGCAACTTCAGTACCTCTTCATTAAGGACAATGCCCTTAATGCCTTAACTTTTGGTCAGCCCTGAAGTAGTCAGGCAATTGGACTAGAGTAGAAGGTCCCTTCCAAGTGGAACCAAACTACTATAAAATAGTAGGTTTTGGTTTCATTACTGGCAAAGATGACTCTTCCCAGCACTTTCCCAGTTCTATCCAGTCCAGTGTCCAGATCTGTGCTTAGAGAGGGAACATATCCAACTTCACTCACCTAAGACACACTTGAGATGTGCAGTGGCATCAGCATCCTCTGCCACAGCCAGATGACAGAATGAACAACATGCAGCTTTTAGAGTTCTGAGAAACATTACCCCTAACCTACTTTACCCACAACTACAGGTCTTCTGCTTTGTGGCTACTATTGATTCATTACTTCTTCAATAAAAAAGGACATAAAAAGGACATGGAGCTGTGGGAGCAAGTCCAGAGGAGGCCACGAGGATGCTCAGGGGCTGGAGCACCTCCTGTATGGAGCCAGGCTGAGAACACTGGGGCTGTTCAGTCTGGAGAAGAGAAGCTGCGTGGAGACCTCAGAGCAGCTTCCAGTGTCTGAAAGGGGCCTCCAAGGGTGCTGGAGAGGGACTGTTCATTAGGGACTGTAGTGATAGGACAAGGGGTGATGGGTTCAAGGGGAAGTTCAGGTTGGAGATAAGGCAGAAGCTCTTCCCTGTGAGGGTGCTGAGGTGATGGCACAGAGTGCCCAGAGATGCTGTGGCTGCCCCATCCCTGGCAGTGTTCAAGGCCAGGTTGGACAGAGCCTTAGGTGACATGGTCTAATGTGGGGTGTCCCTGCCTGTGGCAGGGGGGTTGGAACTGGATGATCTTAAGGTCCTTTCCAACCCGAACCATTCTATGAGTCTATTAAAATATAAGGTTTAAGTGTCATTTACAGAAAATTAGCACATCTTGCAGCACTTGCTCTGTGCCTGAGTGCCTTTGTGCATCACAGGTTTTATGACTCATATTGTATCCTATAGCCTTGGAGGCTGAAGTCCAGAACCCAATGTGCTACAGACTCACTATTTGTTGTAAAAATACCGTGTTCCCTTCTAAAGCGAATGATGAGTCACACAAATTCTTTAAAATGCTTCGCTTGAGATTCTCAGAATATGTTACCTGAGATTACAATAACAGAATAAAGTAGGTAAGAAATTGCTGCGTTTGTGATGGGGAGAAGAAAGAGGAGAAGAATGAAAGCAAGGCAGAGAAAGAAGAGATTATTTCTTGTTCCTCTCCTGTGGGAGGAAGCAGAGAGCTCTTACAAAGAAAGAGCTGAAAGCAGGAGAAGGAAAGAGTTTGAGGAATGAGCTAAACCAGGCTAAAGAAACCTGAAATTGAGGACAAGGGAGTAAACAAAACTTTTAACCTTCCCATTTTAAACTAGGAAGATGGCAAAATGGCGGTGGGAGGAAAGACGGTAAAGTGGCAGGATTCAGACCTTATGAGGGTTTGTTAATACCAGTGCATGAGGTGAGAGAGACCCCAGGAGTATGTAAGGGCTGAGGACTTACAGGGTAGAGCTTGTAATGGAAGAGAAGGGGAAAACAAATTAAGGGTAGAGGACAACAGAGCATGAAGAGAATTAGCTGGCGGAGACTGGTGACAGCAACACTGAAAAGCTGCACACAGCACTGCTCTGTAGAGGGAAAGAGGGAAGGAGGCAGGGTAGGGGAAGAGGCAACAATGGAAAAACAGCAGTGCAGCATTTCCCACAGTCTGACCCAATTCAAGCAACATGATCCATCAGGAGTTTAGACCTTGAGAAATGTGAAATAAAGGCATCAAAGTCTCTGAAGGACTCAGGACACAGACAGGGAGGCAACAACGATGCCAGGGACAGATGCATTTTTTACAGAGGGTATTTCAGAAACAGCAGAAAGCAAGGTGATGTTAAAATCAGCAACATGACCTGCTGGGCAAACAGAAAAAGGTGGAAAGAAATATTAAACAAACTAAGGGGGAGGGAAAGAAGTAGCAGCTTTTGCAATAGGGATGCAGGATTTAGATTCATACTTACAATGGTAAAGCAAAAACAAGCAGAAAAAGGATCTAGCAAAGTTAATGTGAACTACTAACAGTTAAGGGGAGAACGAGCATCAGCAAGACAGAAGGAATACAAAATATGGGAATGGCACATAAAGAACCATCCCTCAAAGCATCTGAAGGATGAAGAGCAGGCAGGAAGCTGAGGGAAGCTGAGCAGATAGTTTTCATAGCAGGACCCCAAATTGCTGGACTGTACCATGCTGCCCTGTAGAAAAGAGCAAGGCAAGGCATAAAAACAAAGAGATGAACATCTTCCACGTTTGCAACATTCCCTGCTAGGGCATCAACAGCAATGGCCCAACCTCTACCTTAGTCCTCTGGACAGGTAAGAAGGACAAGCCCAGACTGCCATTCTCCACAGCACAATGTCACCTCAAGCAGAGCTGAGAGATGGGACAAAAGAAAGAAAAGCCTGCTGCACTTCCGTTCCTCAGCAGTGCTTGCTTTACTCTATTGCTCCAAGTCTGGCAGAAGGAGTCCAGTCCTTGTGGGAAGAGCTCCATTATGGATCTTACTATGATCTGGCCTCATCCTCCAAGGACCCTTTTCCCATGGGGTGAGAACATGCTCCATTCCTGCAGCTCTTCTCACTGCAATAGACTGGGCTGGGACTGCACTGTTCATCAGCTCCTGCAACTACAGGCAGCCTGGCTGCTCTGCACTGATGGGAGATAATCAAAACCTTCCTTGGTGCTGCTTTCTCCACTCAGAATAGAAAGTGCCTCCCTCTCCATTCCCATCCCAGAACAAAGTTTCTGGTAAGTACAGATGACACCACAAGAAAGCAGGGGCCAGCATAATTTATATTGTTTCCTTGCTTGCCATCTATGTGTGAGGCCCCAAAGTGATGACATTGTGGCTCAGATACTATAAACAAGGCCAAATTCATGGACCAGAGACTCCCTGGAGTCCAGCTAAATGTCTGTGTTAGGTTATGTGTTCCTGGGAGCGGAGATAATAGCAGGATAAAGCTGAGAGAATGGGAAGTTGGAAAACTGGGGGTAGGGACACTTTTCCTTTGCTAGTCCTGTTCATCTGAGCCTCCTAGGAAGAAAACGGTGAATGTGATTCTGGTTTTAATATTATATGGATGAGAAATTCTAATCTGGGGAAAGCAGCACTATGTCTGCTGGCAAACATGGCAATATAACACTGGTGATCCTTGAAACATCAGGAAATTGGTAAGAAATAATGTCACCTGCCAGAGGAACACAGAAGGTATCACAGACCTTGAACCCTGGCAAAATTTACTCACAGTCCAGATACAGATTTGACTTCATTTTCTAGAAGTCCTTTTGTAGTTCCATCCTGGTTAATTTTACAACCATTTTTAAACTAAAGAGATTCAAACCAGAACTCCTTTTGACTCCTTTCAAACCAAATGGGTTTGAAAAGCTGATCCCAGAACACTAACATTATGCCAGTAATTATTATACTAATGAAATATATGTACGCAATACCAACCCTTTGCAGCTGAACTACATGACTGTTGTAGGTACTTTCCAAATGAACTATTCATGCTATTCCATTCCATTCCATTCCGCTCCATTCCATCCTATGATGCTGTCCTTTTTATATACTATTCAAAACACCTTTTGGTCTAGCTATTTGTCTAGGACCAGTGTTGGGACCGGTCTTGTTCAACATCTTTGTCAGTGGCATGGACAGTGGGATTGAGTGCACCCTCAGCAAGTTTGCTGATGACACCAAGCTGTGTATGCCAGTTGATACCCTGGAGGGAAGGAATGCCATCCAGAGGGGCCTTGACATGCTTGTGAGGTGGGCTGATGCCAACCTCGTGAAGTTAAACCATGCCAAGTGCAAGGTCCTACACCTGGGTCGGAGCAATCCCAGGCACAGCTACAGGTTGGGCAGAGAAGAGATTCAGAGCAGCCCAAGGAGAAGGACCTGGGGGCGCTGGTCAATGAGAACATGAACACGAGCCGGCTTCAGTGTGTGCTCGCAGCCCAGAAAGCAACCGTATCCTGGGCTGCATCAAAAGGAGCGTGACCAGGAGGTCGAAGGAGGTGATCCTGCCCCTCTGCTCTGCTCTTGTGAGACCTCACCTGGAGTATTGTGTGCAGTTCTGGTGTCCTCAACATAAAAAGGACATGGAACTGTTGGAACAAGGCCAGAGGAGGCCACGAGGATGATCAGGGGCTGAAGCAGCTCCTGCATTAAGACAGCCTGAGAAAGCTGGGGCTGTTTAGCCTGGAGAAGAGAAGCTGTGTGGAGACCTCAGAGAAGCTTCCAGTATCTGAAGGGGGCCTACAGGGATGCTGGGGAGGGACTGTTCATTAGGGACTGCAGTGACAGGACAAGGGGTAACAGGTTAAAACTGAAACAGGGGAAGTTTAGATTGGATCTAAGGAAGAAGTTCTTTACTGTTAGGGTGCTGAGGCACTGGAATGGGCTGCCCAGGGAAGTTGTGAATGCTTGATCCCTGGTGGTGTTCAAGGCCAGGTTGGACAGAGCCTTGGGTGATATGATTTAGTATGAGGTGTCCCTGCTCATGGCAGGGGGGTTGGAACTACATGATCTTAAGGTCCATTCTAACCCTAACTATTCTACGATTCTATGATTCTATTTCATCAAACTGAGAACTCATACTCTGTTGGTCATCTAATGTAATTGATAAATCTTTCCTACTTTACAGGACCCAGCCACCAATTTGTAACCACGAACTGCTCTGTGGGTCTCCCCTAGAAACAATGCTGCTGGCTGACAGTGACCCACTGTGAAATACAGCAGTGGAGTTTAAACCAAAAGCTTCATCAGAATCACCGCTCAGTGTTTAATCAGCTCTTCATGTACTATGGACAAATGCCTTACAGAAATCCCTTATCTATCTCTGATGAGCCAAAATTCCTTGTTTTTTCCCTCATGCTTCCCCCTCCACCTGCCTCCCCTGCCTTGGAGGTATGAAATTTTGTCTTCTATCCATTTTACAGACAGGGAATTGATACAGAGATTTGAGGAGGAAACAATATGAGAGACAGATCTTTTAAGGCTTTGAAGTCACCAAAGGAACTCTGAAACAGACAGTGTATAATGTTTGCATGTGGGGAGAAAAACAAGGCAGGGTCTTTTTTCTAAAATACAAAAGGAGCCTTGATATGCTTCAGCCTGCTGATTCAAGCAGCACTACCATACATCAGGCCTTTAAACAGAGGCAGAAATGTCCTTCAATGGAATTTAAAGGCTCCTACCTTGCTCATACCTCTCTGAAAAAAATCCACATTGGATGGTAACTCAAACTGGAGTTTGACCTGTTCAGAGAGAACAAGCAAACTGAGCTGGTATGATAAGGTGTTTAAGTAGCATGAACACATGTACTACAGCCTAAGGTGCCATATCAGTCTCTCAGAAGCATCATGGGTGCTTTACCCCAGTCACGTTCATTCACAAGACACAGAGGATCACTGAATGTAAACACACCACCATGTTTGGGAACGTGCTACTGAGAATGGAGAAAGCAACAGGCAGCGGAGGAGCTCTGTGGTGGGTAAGGAGATGAAGAGAGCCTCCCACCATGCAGACAGAAGCAGAGAGGTCAGTATCACTTGGGAAGTGTAGGAGCATCCCTCCTGCAAGGAGGAGACTTCAAGACATTTTTCAGAAAGCTGTCAGTTTTCAGAGAGAGATGACCATGGCAGTGCCTGAGGTAAGTCTCTTGGAATGGATAACATCATTTAATGAAGTTCTGAATTATTAACAAGGAGATTTTAAAAGACCACAATGTTACTTGGGAATAAAACAGGGAAGCAGACCTCCTAGGATATCAACATATCTAGTTGTTGTTGGTATCCCAAACAGACATCATTATCTTGCTTAGAAATGTATCTTGGTTGTATAGTTAATGGCAATCCTCACCCCCTCTTATGCTGTGCGCTCAGCCCTTCCACTAATTTGCCCAGGACTGACAGTTCTTCCTTATAGGAAGAAGCACAGATTCTGTGTTGCTGAGTCAGCCGATAGAAAGACCCAAACTTCCCTGGCCCACCTAAATTGAAACCGGCATCTGGATCCCATGGATACAGAATACCTCCCTGTGAGAGCAACACCTCCCATTTAATCGGTGATTTTGTTCAGCGGTGCTGATGTCCCACCTTCCACGCTGTGCAGCTTTGCTGTGCTGCGTTCTCCGGAGAACTCCCTGTTACTCATTTGGGGTTCTCTGACGTCAGCTCTGGGGTCAGGCAGGCAGGGCTGTGCCTGTCCCTTGCCCACTCCCAAACACAAAGGCCTATAGATAGCTGCTGCAGCAAATGCTTCTCATTATGGGCTCCCCTCTCCTCAGAGTGCCCGTCCAGTTGGGGGAGGGAGTAGGATGGGGCCCCCAGATGCCTGTGCTGCTCTGCTATGTGTTTTTTGTTATTTGGGGCGAGTTGTGCATTCCTCACAAGCTTCGGATGTCATGCAGAGCCCCAGGGGAATCCTCAGAGAACTGGGAGGAGCAACCAGGCAGGGGAAGGTTGCCCATGCACATCAGGCAAGAGGCATCTCCACCTCCATGTGAAGATGTCCAAACCAGAGGGAAGTGCCAGGTCTATGACAGCCATTGCCCTGTGCACAGCATCCATCCCCTCTTAAAAGCTTTCTGCTTCCCACTAGCAGAACTTCCTTAGATAGCCTTAGTCTGGCAAAACACAGCCCAAGAGGTGACAAATTTGTTTGGCTTGGAGTCAGTGGCTGAAAGGTAAAGAAACAATTTCAGATTAAGACTAACTGTGGATCAAGAATAAATCGATATAAATTGGCCATTTATACATGCAGCAAGAAATTTGGAGGTTTCCATCTACTTACAGCAATCAGGCTCCAGAACACCCTTCCAAAATAAGAAGGACATGGAAACGAAAATACCACCTGCACACCACCCTCTCATGCTTTGCCAAGGGAATCTGATACAGAGGCTCCCTTCCTGGAGGACACACGTGGTGCCTTGAACTAAGGACAGGAAATGAACCCCCCAGCAGCACCCTCCTGTTTGGGTCTGTGTTCATGTGCTAAACCCAAGATGCCCAGTAAATGTTTCAGGGTCAGCTTACGGATTGTTACCGATATAGAAACGTAGGACTGCGAAAGACTTTCTGGGATGGGAGGATGAGTTCAGAAGCCACTCCTCAGCTTGCTGCCATGTGTTTAATTCCATCATAATTCTCAGGACACTAGTACCATCAGAAAACCTGCAGCATCCGAAGTGCCAGCAGGATGGGCTAGCATTCCCTGCAAGTCCTAACTTGTAACTAACTCAAAACATCATTTCCAGATCCCAGAGATGTGACGAGATTGACAAAGTGATGAGCAGCCAGCAAAAGGGAACCTGGAGGCGCAGGCAGCCCTGACTGATCTCTGCAGAACTGCGCACACATCTGGAATACAAATAGAAGTACAGGAGCTACCTGTGTGTGTCCTGCCCTGCGCCTGCAGCAGCAAGGACCGGCTGCTTCAGCTACACCAGGAGTCACCTGAAAGGCAACACTGACACAACATGCCTCAGGGGCAAATCTGTACGTGGGTGTTGATAAAATGCTAGCACTGGGCTGAGGATTGAGCTTTCTAACAGCGTCCCGGTTAGAAATAACCGTACTGACCCTTCCCTATAAAAGTGACATTTTGAGACCGTAACTTATTTTTAATGCCCAGAATACTAATTTGTGGAGTGGACATGGAACAGGGCAGTGACCACGGTGCTCGTGACACCTGACACAGCCCAGGCTACCGTGGCTCCTTTGCAGCTCCAAGTACAAATCCTGAAGACAAACAGCTTGAAACATTCGCTGCACTCAGCCCAGCGCCTGCCACTGAGCCCTGCACCCCCTGAGGACCTCGGCATCCCGCCTCACCGGGCACCTCGCCGGGGACACGGGCACCCTGCCCTGGGAGCCCTACACCCTCCGGGCACCCCGCGCGGGACACGGGCACGCTGCCCCGGATACCCCGTGCCCCGTCCCGGGAGCCCTTCACTCAGCCCCTGCTCCGCTCTTCAATCCCGACCCCTCCGCTCACAGCGCGACGGCTGCCCGTTGCGGTGGCGACGTGCTTTCGGCCTTCCCTCGCTGCCGGGTTAGGGTCGGGTTTGCGCTCACCGGTGAGCCGGATGCCGTGGCGACAGCGCTGAGCGTGGGGCGGCCCGACCCGGACCCCGGGCACTAGGACCGGAGGGCGGCCAGGCTGGGACCCCAGGGGGTCGCCCCGGGGGCGGGACCGGCACAATAGCAGCGGGCGGGGCGGGCCCGGCAGGGGGCGCGCTCAGCCGGCAGCTCCTCACCGCTAACGGGCCTGTGACTGTTTGTACGAGATGCTGCGTCACTTCCTGCGGCCGCCTTCCGGTCTTGGCGTCAAAGCGGAGGAGGATGGGCCGCGGGCGCCCCGGAGCTCCGCGCGGCGCCGCCGTGAGTGATCCGCTGCCAGGACCCGGCGGGTCTCTACGGGACCCCGACCCGGGGGCGGGGCCTGGGCTCGGGCTCGGTTTGGGGGTCGGGGGGAAGCTGGGACGTGAGCAGCGTTCGGCGGCGCCGGCGGGGACGGCCCTTCCTTCTCCTCACCCTGCTCTCGGAGTCCCCTCGGTGCTGCCTGGCCCTGCCAGGCCCGGGCGCTTCTGGGCCTGCGGTGTCGGTCGGAAGTGCCGGGACCTTACGCCAGCGCCGTGTCCTTGTCCCGGCAGGTCCAGGGCACCAGCGGCAGCAGCGCCGTCAGCAAATGCTCAGCGGCGGCGCGGGGCTACATCCAGGATCGGTTCCTGCGGCTCCTGGTGGGGCGGCGGGGGCGGCGGCGAGCCCCGCTTGTCCACCGGTGAGCAGCGGGGGCTTCTCCGGCGGCCGGGCCCGGGTGCCTTTGCAGGGGGCCATGGCCGGCTCACAGGCGGCAGAAAGGATCCGCTGGTCCCCCAGGCTCTCGCGGTGTCAGTTCTGGTCAAGGCACAGCTTTTTAAAGTATGTTTGGGGACACGGGCATAGTGAGCGGCAGCGCGTGGAGTGCATCTCTTGGTGTAATCTCTGCAGACTGTTGGTAGCATTTTACACGGCTTAGGAGTGAAAACTGGAAGCTTTGTCTGGAGAAAAACATGTCACCGGACTGGTTCCTAGCTCCAGTCTTCGCTGCTGCTGGAAAGTGCTGTAGACATGATTTGAAAATGAATGTACCACAAAGGTTAGCGTGTTAGTCTTTTGCTCAAGAACGATACAACTTCACTAAGGTGGCTCAGGACAGCAGTATTATCTTTTGAATCGGTGGTGTCTGACCAGTAGCTCTTCTCTGGAGCTTTGCATGAATATTTTAATGTGGTTAAAGGGTTCTGTGCTGATGTGGAAGTGGAGTTTACATAAGAAGAGGCTAATAGCTTAATGCAGTCAGAATGACTGTGAATCACTAAAGGAGTTTCATTTGAGGTGTGTTGAAGCAGAGCTTGCAGGCCTGTGAAGATGAGTGTGGTCATCAGGTCAGGAGTTAATTTCATATTGTTATGGCATCTGATTTGGGGCAGGAACTTGGTTATTGGCTACCCACGTAAGGGTTATCCATAGTCTTGTTGCATAAAGCCCTTAGTGAGTGCTGGAAATCTGTATTTATTAACAAATGCTAGATGGACAAACTCATCAGACATCTCCCAGTGCATGGCTATAAATGTAAACTCAGTGTGTAGAAAGCAAGAGAGGGGAAAAAAAGAGTTTTGTAAAGTGGGGGGTGCCAGTGCTGGAGAAGCAGCATTCCTGATTACAGCTGAATTTCATTCCACAGGGGTTATTACATCCGTGCCCGTGCTGTAGATCACTGTGTTCAAGACTTCCTGCTGAAGACCCAAAGCCACCCTAGGACACAGGTGCATTTCTCTTGTCTGGGTGTACTGGCAGTTTCTGCTGTGTGCTTGACTAGTCTTTCTGGCATCTTGCCACAGAAGTAGCTTCTTGGTGCATTTGTTGTGACCCTTTCCCACAAGAGCACAGACAGTCTGCCTGACACTACTGTGCCTGGCCTTTGTTGCTTTGACAGACCTATCTGGGAGGGGGCAATACCTACAAACATTTCTTCTACTTCTTGCAGGAACTTGCCTGATTTTGTCACTCTGCAAGTGATGTTATTGAATGCTTTTCACACCTGGATGGTCAGGATATAACTTTTTATGATGCCTTCTCTGTAGATCTTGTCTTTAGGTGCTGGCTTTGACTCGTTATACTTCCGTTTGAAGGACATGGGTCTTCTGCATCGCACTATGGTATATGAGGTGGATTTCCCAAATGTGGCACGCCAGAAAGCTGCTCTGATCAAAAGAATGGAAGAATTGTCGGCATTGGTGGGAAGCAGTGAAGGGGAAGGATTAGGTATGATATTTATAGAAGGAAGCTTTTGTAGGTACTAAGTGTTTAGAAGAAGCAAACAGTTTCAGCCTTTAAAAAGCGAGATATTATGATAGAGGAACTACAGAGTTCCTGTGAAAAGATGTTCATTTTCTGAAAAACTTTGTACCTAATGAATTGTTTGTAGTGCTGGGAGGCAGCAAGATGTGCAGCTGCCAGAGGGATTGGCCAGGAGCAGATATCAAAATGAGTTCAGTTTCTTTCTGATACAGTTTCTGAAGTGCTGTGTCCAGCTTTGGGCTCTGTGGTACAAAGGCAGTGGAAAACTGCAGCATGTCCAGTGAGAGGTCATGAGAATGATTAAGTGGTGGAGCACATATCGCAGGAGGGGAGGCTGAGAGAACTGGATTTGTTCAGCCTTAGGAAGAGGAGGTTGAGAGGGAGGTGAGTCTTGCTGCAGTCTTCAGCTACCTAACAGGAAAGTGTAGACAAGATGGAGCCAGATTATCCTGGAGGCAGGAAGCAGTCGATGGGCAGTGGTTGCAAGTTGCAACAAAGGAAGATCCAGTTACATATAATGGAAGTGTTGCATGTTTTTTGTTGTTTCCTCCCCTCTCCTGCTGCCATGCAAGTAGTTAAAAGCAGGGATAGAGTGCCCATAAAGGTGGTGAAATCTCCAGCCTTGGAGATAGATAGTTGACTGGAGAAAGCCTTGAGCAACCTGCTACAGGTAATTCTGCTGTGAGCGAGGAGTCGGATTAGATGATGTTCAAAGGGCCATTTTGTCCGAAATTATGCTGTGATTTATGGACTTCATGGGTAGGAGAGAAGAGAGGACTCTTGGGTGTCTTGACTGTAATAAAACATGAGTTGTTGTGTTACCTGACTCTTCTTTTTTTCTCTTTCCAATGGAGGAAAAAAGACAAGCCTTATAAAACTACTATAGAATATAAGCAGAACTGAAAGGATTCTTATGCTGGTTAAGTACTATGGGGCAGTTCAGTGGCAACATGAGGGAATGTAAAGTATGGGGTTCACAGAGGGTTTCTGCTGCATCTGATTTCCTTCAAGGTTTCCATTTGTGTTCTAGATGATATGCTATAGAAGTTGAAAATGCAATAAACCAACAGGAAATGGGTAGATGAGAGTAGGATTTTGATAAAGTACGTAAATGGTGTCCTGAACCCAGGAGAAATGATTTCTCAAATGTGGAATGAAATTCAGTAAGAACAAATGTAAGTTGCTGTGTGACTGTAATAGTCAGTTGAAATGCCCATTGAAGACAGGTACAGAGATAGGTGCAGAGCACAAATATCTGCCTCCCATGAGCAGTTGGACACATCTTAGTGAGCTCTTCCATGAGATGGTTCAGTTTCCTCTTGAATCCATTCACATGTTTAATATTGGCAGCCTTGTTGGATTGCACTGGTACAAGAGTAGGTGATTTCTGAAGGTACTTTACAGTTTGCTTTGTTTATGATTTGGTCGAAACAGGTCAGCAGCTATAGCTTATGATATTCTCATGGAGTACAGGGCGCAAGGATGATGCTTGCAAAGTATGTATTTGGACTAATTTCTAAGAATGGAGGTGTGTGAGACTCCCCCCAGTGTTTGCAGAGCACCAGCATGTGCTGTGTCAGGATTCAGTGCCATTTACAGACTTGGAATCTATTTAAAAAACAAGCAAACCAACCAACCTCCAAAAGTTTGGGGCTGGTTTTATGGTTGTGAGGCAAACCATTTGAACCCTGTCAAAGCAATGGTACTTCCTTTGCCTAAACTGAAAAGTCTGTAAATAAGAGTCCTTCAGATTTGATAGTGGTTCTATAAAAATATTGTTAAAGTAAATATGATAAAGTTCTTTTATAGTAAGTGTGATAATTCTGTGCAAAATCTGCAGGTTAATTTGCATTAGGAATAATGGAGTTTTTGATCTGCATTTAATGGATCACTTCTTGGCACTATCCCATTATGGTTCATTTAGTGATGGGGATTTTCTTGTACATGTCCCAAAGAAACTGAGTTTATGGGCACAGCCTTGTGAGCGATTGCCTGTGGGGTTGATTTTCCTGTGTGTCCCTTTTGGTCTCAGTATGGCATCCGCACTGCAGTGAGATTGTACCATTTTTATCTCCAAGGAGTCATTACCTTTTCTGGAAAGGATTATAAATTACTGGGAGTGGATTTATCAGAGCTGTCTCAGCTGGAGAGAGCCCTGGAGGAAGCAGGATTGGACACTGAAATCACCACCCTCTTCATAGCAGAGGTGGTGCTCACCTACATGGAAAATAGCAGGTCAGTTGAGATTTCCCCTGTTAGCTAGGTGGTGAAATGAGAAGAGTAAGCTTCTTTGTATGTATGTCACCTGGGGCTGTCCTGTTATAAGAACTCCTGTCTTGTAACTAGCCTCAGGAATTCTGTGGCAGTGTTGAGCAGCTCCTTCTATCATGATTGTGATGGGGTAATCAGAGTCCGCATGACATACTAAAATGGAGGTGAAAAAAAAAAAGGAAGAGAAACCCTGAATGAGTGATTTTTGAGTTTTTTTTATTTTCTTATCCCCTGAGTTCTCTGCATAGATGAGGGAGATGTTCATAAGTCCCCAGCTCAGGATTCTGTCTTGTGTATTGCCTCTGTTAGGATGCCTTAATAGCCTGCTTTATGGTGTTGCAGGAAGATAAACTGCATCTGCCATTGATAAGTGGGCCCTCAATTGTTTGATTTCTGATGTACAATCTGCCTGACAGGTCTGATGCCCTGATTCAGTGGGCAGCAGAGCATTTCTCTCAGGCGTGCTTTCTGCTGTATGAGCAGATGCACCCAGAGGACCCCTTTGGACGTGTCATGCAGCAGCATTTCAACCAGCTGAACTCTACACTTCATTCTGTGGCACAGTACCCTGATTGCGAGGCACAGCAGAAGCGCTTCTTGGCAAAGGTGAGTACCTACAGCTATGGGCACACGTGAAGCACCTGGGAAAGATTGTCACATGAAATAATTTGGGAAGTCATCAGCTGTGTCAGTTATGGGTTGAAACCAACAGGGCCAGGGCTGGCACACTGCCTTTTCTATTAGCATGACTAGTCGTTTGAAGGTCCTTCCAACCAACTTGCAGCCTCCTTTCTGTATGGTATTAAGGCAGGATGAGTTCCTCTAAGACTTTTGATACAACAAATTAAGTTTCTAAGAGCTTTACAGGTAAGAGACCTATCCTCACCAGATTCTGGGCTGCTGTTGTTCCAGCTAGACAGCTTGTGGTTTATGCAGCTGTTTAATTTAGGGTCTTAATTTTCTTGTGGGAAGTGAGTCTATCCTTCTGAGGTAATCATTTTGGGGGATTTCTGTTTCAGGGCTGGACTGAGTGCAGTGTCATGGATATGAATGAGTTTTTCACCTGTTGTACTCCAGAAGATGAGCAGCAAAGAGTGCAGACTCTGGAGCCTTTTGATGAATATGAGGTAACCCTCCTTTATTCTGAACACGAGTGACCTGGCTAGCAGCTCCTTCCTACTGCTTGCTCTTCAGATTTTTGAGGGAGATTGGTTTTGTTTTTTCCTTTTGGCTTACTACAGGAATGGCATCTGAAATGTTCTCATTACTTTGTCCTGGCTGCATCAAAGGGGATGGAACCTTCCTGGACTCCGCTGTTACCCAGTATGACAGGTACATACCCACTAGTTTTTGTAGTATTCCTTCATCTCGTTCAGACTTCCTTGAGGGGTTTTAGGAGACAGTAAAACCCTGGAAGGAACTGCTCAGATGCATCACCTGAGTAGCTTTCTTCATCTTTCTAACAGTGATTCTGCTGCCCATAGTGAGGCCAGGGCAATGTCCTGATGCTGGTGATTCTGACCAGTTTCATTCTTCCAGATTATTGAACCTTCCAGTCTGAACAGCTCTTCCTTCTGTTTATACATGGGGCCTTCCAGTGCATGATTGCAATGCCAGTCTACCATGCTCCTCCTCCTACGTTGGGATCCCACAGACTCTCTGTTTTCAATGTATTCCCACTTGCCTCCATACATGGCTCTCTGAGCCATTCTGTCCTTTCAGCTCCCAAAAGGTTGTTACATTTTACTTAAAATCATAGAATAGTTAGGGTTGGAAAGGACCTTAAGGTCATCCAGTTCCAACCCCCTGCCATGGGCAGGGCCGCCTCCCACTAAACCATATCACCCAAGGCCTCGTCCAGCCTGGCCTTGAACACTGCCAGGAATGGAGGATTCAAAACTTCCCTGGGCAACCCATTCCAGTGCCTCACCACCCTCACAGTAAAGAACTTCTTCCTTATATCCAATCTAAACTTTCCCTGTTTAAGTTTGAACCTGTTGCCCCTTGTCCTGTCACTGCAGTCTCTAATGGAGAGTCCATCTCCAGCATCCCTATAGGCCCCCTTCAGATACTGGAAGGCTGCTCTGAGGTCTCCACGCAGCTTCTCTTCTCCAGGCTGAACAGCCCCAGCTTTCTCAGCCTGTCTTCAGCCCCTGATCATCCTCGTGGCTTCCTCTGGCCTTGTTCCAGCAGTTCCATGTCCTTTTTATGTTGAGGACACCAGAACTGCACACAATGCTCCAGGTGAGGTCCCACGAGAGCAGAGCAGAGGGCCAGGATCACCTCCTTGGACCTGCTGGTCACGCTCCTTTGGATGCAGCCCAGGATACGGTTGCTTTCTGGGCTGCGAGCACACACTGAAGCCAGTTCATGTTCTCATCGACCAACACCCCCAGGTCCTTCTCCTTGGGCTGCTCTGAATCTCTTCTCTGCCCAACCTGTAGCTGTGCCTGGGATTGCTCCGACCCAGGTGTAGGACCTTGCACTTGGCATGGTTTAACTTCATGAGGTTGGCATCAGCCCACCTCACAAGTGTGTTGAGGTCCCTATGGATGGCATTCCTTCCCTCCAGCGTATCAACCGAACCACACAGCTTGGTGTCATCAGCAAACTTGCTGAGGGTGCACTCAATCCCACTGTCCATGCCACTGACAAAGATGTTGAACAAGACCGGTCCCAACACCGATCCCTGAGGGACACCACTCATTACTGGTCTCCAGCTGGACATTGAGCCATTGACCACAACTCTTTGTGTGCAGCCATCCAGCCAGTTCTTTATCCACCAAGTGGTCCATCCATCAAATTGATGTCGCTCCAATTTAGAGACAAGGGTGTCGTGTGGGACAGTGTCAAACGCTTTACACAAGTCCAGGTAGATGACATCAGCTGCTCTATCCCTGTCCATCAGTTCTGTAGCCCCATCGCAGGAGGCCACCAAATTGGTGAGGCAGGATTTCCCCTTAGTGAAGCCATGCTGGCTGTCACCAAGCACCTTGTTGATTTTCATGTGCCTTGGCATGCCTTCCAGGAGAATCTGTTCCACGATCCTGCCAGGCACAGAGGTGAGACTGACTGGTCTGTAGTTCCCTGGCTCATCCATTTTCTGTTTCTCGAAAATGGGGGTTATGTTTCACTTTTTCCAGTCCGGGAACTTCACCTGACTGCCAGGATTTCTCAAATACGATGGCCAGTGGCTTAGCAACTTCATTTGCCAGCTCTTTCAGGACCCACGGGTGGATTTCATCAGGTCCCATGGATTTGTGCACATTCAGGTTCTTAAGATGGTCTTGAACCAGATCCTCTCCTACAGTGGACCTCATTCTCACAGTCCCTGCGTCTGCTTTCCAAATCTTGGGTGGTGTAGTCAGAGCATTTGCCAGCGAAGACTGAGTCGAAGAAGTCATTCAGAACCTCAGTCTTCTCCAAATCCAGGTAGCCAGTTCTCCTGATAGCTTCCGGAGAGGGCCCACATTTTCTGTAGTCTGTCTTTTATTTGCAATGTAATTATAGGATCCCTTCCTGTTATCTTTCACATCCCTAGCCAAGTTTAATTCTAACTGGGCCTTAGTTTTCCTAACCCTGGTCCCTAGCTTCCCAGGCAACATCCCTGTATTCTTCCCAGGCCACCTGTCCTTGCTTTCACCTTTTATAAGCCTCTTTTTCCCTTTGAAGTTTCCTCAGCAGCTCCTTATCCATCCAAGGAGGTCTCCTGGCACTCCTGCTGCACTTCCTTCTGGTTGGGGCGCAACACTCCTGAGCTTGTAGCAGGTGATCCTTGAATATCAACCAACAGTCTTGAGCCCCCCTGCCCTCTAGGGCTATATCCCATGGAACCTTACTAAGCGGGTTCCTGAAGAGGCCAAAGTCTGCTCTCTTGAGACTAGTCTTGTTCACAGTATAGCACCACAAGTAGTTCTAACTGCAACTGAAAGTTGAAATCTGGGTTCTAGGGATAGCGCAAATGGCATTCCTTAAGCCAACAGGGCCACTGAATTCATTGTGTTATGTCTTGATTATATTTGAAAACATGTAGTGAAATCAAAAATAAGTGAATATTCATGTGGTTAAGTATATTGTGTGATTGTCACTGGTCCTGATGTGAAAACCTTAAAGGTTTCTGAATGTGTAGGATCTATCCGTAAGTTAAAAAGAAAAAATAATATCTGACGTTTGCTTAACTGACATTAATACAGTGAAGGCACTTCATTCGTTAGAGACATGAAGAGAGTCTTGCTGTTACTGTCACTGTTGGATTCACAACTGATAGCAAGAGCCTTCAAAGTCAAATAAATTATCCTTGCTTAGACATTTTTTATTGGGAATGGGAAAAGGTTGGTCTCAAATGCTGGTCTCTGCCCCAAGCGATCCTCTCAAGTAGATTTAGGTCCCTGTTTAAGAGAGTTGCAAGTCCTGTTTCTTCAAAACAGAGCATGGGAAATATATTTTCTAAAATGGAAACCCCTCAGTCTTAAAAAGATGCATCTATAAGAAGACGTGAGCCCAAGGAGATGCAGTCATCAAACAGTAGAAAGTAGGGTCTTGTACTAAACAACATTTGGTACGATCTTCCTGGGTATGGCATACAAAAAGTAGACTGAGAGCTGCTTCTCCTCCACATCATCATCTCTTACAGCATGAGGATAAGACTCTTGTTTAAAACAAAGAAACTGATTAAAAAAAAAACAATTAGGATAATGCATAGGTGTGCTAGAGTCCTCTGATGTGATCTTGTTTCATACTAAGTGGTAGAGGACTTAGGGAGAAGATATTTAGACAACTGAAAATACTCTCATATAATAGGACCACTGGAATTAACAGAGATTATTTGTCATGCTTTAGGACTTTATTTCAATGCTTTTGTGAAGGTAGGATCAAAATCTAGCAAGAAACTTTGAAATCCAGCTTCCAGGCCCTGTTTCTGCTGGTTTTTGCTTTTTAAATAACCAAATATTGTCTTCATTAGGAAGGTATTATTTTTGATGGTGTTACAGTGACTTCTGTCTTGCTACAGCAGTTCAGGACACTGCAGTCTCTTAGTAAGTATTACTCCACCACATTAAAGTAGTCTCAGAACTGTGTCAGGAGTTGAGGGAGCAGTCAGCAGAGGTTGCAAGTTGGCAGAATGGCTGTTTAAACCATTACAGCTTGATTTCTAGGGCAAGTCAGATTCTCTGTGCTCTGTCAAGTTGCTTCACAATCTTTTCTTCTTGAAAAGCTGAAGATTTGCTTAATCTCTCATTTAAAATGTAGTCCTTGGTTCTTGTTTGTGCTGAGTTCTTTGGTTCTCTCTGGCTTACAGTTCCCCGTGGTGCTGTTGGGATGGCTGGGAGTGTCCCTGCAGTGCGTGCGATGCGCTCTGACACTTCTGGGCTGAGACGTTACGGTCACCACTCTGTTCTTCTAAAACGCGATGTGATCCTCACCACTGGAGGCTTTGGGGAGGCGGATGGACAGCACTGCCGGATGAGGAATTTTCATGTGCTAATAAAACATGCAGGCTGCTGGAAAGCTGGCTGTGTGAAGAATGAAAATACTGATAAAAGATGGGGTGAGTTCTCATGCTGGTGTCAAGTGTAAGGAAGATGTTTTTGTGTGGCAATGAATTGTGTCTAGTGGAAACCTAATGTCATGGTACAATTATGCTGTCAGTCAAAGAGATCTGAAGGTTCTGAATACTAAGTGTCAGGTCCTGCGCTTGGGCCACAACAGCCTCATGGAACCCTCCAGGCTTGGGGAAGAGTGGCTGGAAAGTTCTTCATGCAAAAGGACCTGGGGGTGCTGGTTGATGAAGCTGAACATGAGCAGCTTGTGTCCAGGCAGCCAGGAAGCCCCCAGCATCCTGGCCTGGATCAGCACCACTGCGGCAGCAGGGCCAGGGCAGGGATTGTGCCCCTGCACTGGGCACTGGTGAGGCTGCACCTCAAATCCTGAGTTCAGTTCTGGGCCCCTCACTCCAAAAGAGACATTGAGGTGCTGGAGTGGGGCCAGAGAAGGGCAGCGGAGCTGGTGCAGGGCCTGGAGCCCAAGTGTGATGGGGAAGGGCTGAGGGACCTGGGGGGTTCAGTCTGGAGAAGAGAAAGCTCAGGGGGGACCTGATTGCTGCCTACAACTGCCTGACAGGAGGATGGAGCCAGGAGGGGTCTGGGCTCTGCTCCTGGGGAGCAAGGGAGAGAGGAAACTGCCTCAGGCTGCCCCAGGAGTGGTTTAGATGAGATTAGGAATAATTTCTTCCTTGGGAGGGTTGTTGAGCATTGGAACAGGCTGCCCAAGGCAGTGGTGGAGTCACCATCCCTGGAGATACTTAAAAGATGTGTAGACGGGGTGTTTTTGGACATAGTGTAGTGGTGGTATGGACATGGTGTAGTGGTAAACTTGGCAGTGTTATGTTTATGGTTGGATTTGATGATCTTGAGGGTCTTTTCCAACTTAAGTGACTCTAAAATTCTATAAATTTAATGGGAGAATAATGTGTGTGAACTGTAATGTTTTGTATTTCTGCAGATGAGCGGCTGTTCCATACTGTGTCATGTGTCTCCAACAGTCTGGCCCTGGTGGTAGGAGGACGAACATCCCCATCGAGCACAGGCTTGGGAATGTTGTTGCTGAAGTTCCATGAAACCTGTAATGCCTTGGACCCAGGTGACATTACAGTGAAACTTATAAGTCTGCAGCCTGCTGCTGAGCCAGCTGCTTTGCGTTGGAGGCACAGCACAACTGAAGTGATGTTTAAAGGTAAAAAACATGGAAATGGCTGCAGGCATGCAGAAGTATATAAATTCCAGAATAAATGGGACAGTCCTGTTCAGAAAGTGAGGTCTAAAAGGCCAATTGTCAGGATACAGCCTTACTTTTTAGTCATGTAGTATAGGCTATGATGTTAATGTTTATGCATTGTATTCCCTTGTCTGAAACAGTATCTTTTTCTGAACATTTTGGAAAGAGTGCAATCTTGTTAATTCATCACCCCTTTAGAGAATCCAATTATGTAAAGATTTGTTCAGGTGGTGATTTTTTTTTTTATTTTTTCCCAGACTTAAAGAACTTAGGCTTCATTTGATTATATTTTTCTTATTGTATGTACCCAGGTCTTGTGCCTTTTCTTGTTTGTCAAGCCAGAAAGTATTTGTGAGAGGCTTTACCAAATCTGTCAAAAAGGAAAGGCTGAGCAGTCTCAGCTCTTTCCTGAACTGAGCATGTTAATTTATTCAACAATTGAACAGGATTTCAGTTATCGGTGCTATTAATACATGGATTAATACACAGATTTGTTACATAACCTACACGACAGATACCATGTGATAATGACACTTATTTATTCAGATCAGCCTTGCGGAGAAGGTCTTGGAGTGTTGGTTGATGAGAAACTTAACATAAACTGGCAGTGTGCGCTCACAGCCCAGAAACCCTCTGTTTTCCTTTAACCCTCACCAAATAATCTAAATCCATCCCTTTTCCTGCCTCTGGTTCCTCTCCTCAGCATCCTGTAATAAGTCTTATGCAAACACCAAGTGCTTTTCCCCTGCATCTTGTAATGTGTCTCATGCCCCTTTGAAGTTCCCCCCTCAAAGGTGCTCCAGAGAGTTGTTCCTATTCACTCATTTCAATAGGTCTCAGTGGGGCTGAGAGTTCTGGGACTGCCCTAGGAGGAGCCCAGGCAGATTGTCTCATTTTATAAGCATGTGATTGGGGTTCTCTAGCCTGCAGACCTGCTGCTGCCTCTCTGTGCTCCTCTTGGTCGTGAAGAAATAAGCCTATTATGGCTGGGCTGGGTGCAGAAATAGCTGAGGCAGGATATTATTTGGGTTCCCCAAACTTTTTTTGCCTCTGTGCTCCTCTGTGAGTGTAGGCAGGTGGGCTTTTTAGCATGTAACTGGCACTGCTAGAGTGAGGTTTTGTAATGAACAGATGCTTAAAGGAAAAGCAAAGCAAATGTTCAGAATTACTAGTAAAGGAACAAAAACCAGAATGGGGAATACTGTTCTGCCATTATGTAAATCATTGGATCGATGGTTTGGGTTGAAAGAGACCTTTATAGATCATAGAATCATAGAAAGGTTTGGGTTGGAAGGGACCTTGCAGCTCATCCAGTTCCAGACGCCTGCCACGGGCAGGGACACCTTCCACTGGAGCAGCTTGCTCCAAGCCCCTGTGTCCAACCTGGCCTTGAACACTGCCAGGGATGGGGGAGCCACAGCTTCTCTGGGCACCCTGTGCCAGCGCCTCAGCACCCTCACAGGGAAGAGCTTCTGCCTAGGAGCTTCTTTCAGTCTCTCCTTTTCTGGTTTAAAACCATTCTCCCCTGTTCTGTCACTACACATCCCAGTAAAAAAGTAGTCTCTTCTGTCTGTCTTATAACCCTCCTCTAAGTATTTAAAAACTACAGTAAGGTCCAGCTAAAGCCTTCCTTCTCCAGGTTAAACCATTTCAACTCTTTAAGAACTTTTCCATAGGAGAGGTGCTCCAGCCCTCTGACTTCCTGGTCTGCAAGTGCACGTTGCTGACTCATATCTCATTTATAGAATTATAGAATAGTTAGGTTTGGAAAGGACCTTAAGATCATCAAGTTCCAATCCCCCTGCCATCTACCAGTATCCCCAAGTCTTTCTCTTCATGGTTGCTCTCAACCCATTCATTCTCCAGTCTGTATTGATAGTGGGGATTGCCCCCAACTAGGTGCAGGATCTTGCACTTGGCCTTGTTGAGCTGCATGGGGGTCACATCGGCCCACTTTCCAAGCCTGCCAGTAGAAAAGAAATCAAAGAGGCTTTGAGATCTCTTCACACTTGAAATATGATTGTTGTGGTTTAAGCCCAGCGGGGAGCACGGAGCCATGCAGCCACTCTCTCACTCCCTGCCTTTTCCCCTCCTGGCTCCCAGAGGGGTGGGGATGAAAATAGAAAAAATGTATCTCCCACAGGTGTCTTATCCCACAGATAAGAACAGTCCAGTAATAAAGGTATGACACAAACTGCTGCTGCCACCAATAACAATAATGATAGGGGAAGTAACAAGGAGAGTGAATATAAAACTAAAAGGGGGAAAGGGAAAAAAAAAACAATAAATACAAGTGATGCCAAATACAATTGCTCAGCACCTGCTGACCAGTACCCAGCCCGACCCGAGCAGTGACCTGGGTTTTTGGGTGACCCCCCCAGTTTCTATACTGAGCATGATGTGCTGTGGTATGGAATACCTCTTTGGCTAGTTTGGGTCAGGTGTCCTGTCTCTGCTTTCTTCTGGCTTCCAGTGCTCCCCCTCACTGGCAGAGCATGAGATTGAAAAGTCCTTGGTCAGAGTAAACATTACTTAGCAACAACTAAAAGCATTGGTGTTATCAGCACTGTTCTCATGGTCATGCTAAAGTCAAAAACACAGCACTGCGCCAGCTACTAAGAAGGACAAAAATAACTGCTAGAGCTGAACCCAGGACACTATTCACCCCTTATTCCATACCATTCACATCATGATCCGATCCCACATTTTTCAATATACATAGAATCATAGAATTATAGAATAGTTAGGGTTAGAAAGGACCTTAAGATCATGTAGTTCTAACCCCCCTGCCATGATCAGGGACACCTCACACTAAACCATGTCGCCCAAGGCTCTGTCCAACTTGGCCTTGAACATCACCAGGGATGGAGCATTCACAGCTTCCATGGGCAACCCATTCCAGTGCCTCATCACCCTCACAGTAAAGAACTTCTTCCTTATATACAATCTAAACTTCCACTGTGTAAGTTTTAATCCATTACCCCTTGTCCTATAACTACAGTCCCTAATGAAGAGTCCATCTCCAGCATCCTTATAAACCCCCTTCAGATACTGGAAGGCTGCTCTGAGGTCTCCATGCAGCTTCTCTTCTCCGGGCTGAACAGCCCCAACTTTCTCAGGCTATCTCCATACAGGAGGTGCTCCAGTCCCCTGAGCATCCTCCTGACCAACTCTGGACTTGTTCCAACAGTTCCATGTCCTTTTTATGTTGAGGACACCAGAACTGCACACAATGCTCCAGGTGAGGTCTCACGAGAGCAGAGCACAGGGGCAGGATCACCTCCTTTGACCTGCTGGTCACGCTCCTTTGGATGCAGCCCAGGATACGGTTGCTTTCTGGGCTGTGAGTGCGCACTGCTGGCTCGTGTTCATGTTCTCATCGACCAACACCCCCAAGTCCTTCTACACAGAGCTGCTTTTCTCTCATGTTTTTATATATATATATATATATATACAGAGAGAGAGAGAGAGAGAGAGAGGGATACTTCCTTAGTCCATGGAGTAAGTTGCTAAATTCATCCAGTCCATGATACCAGGCTCCGTGTCTTGTAACAGCCTCTGGGGCAGGAGGGACGGTGTGTAGTGTTGCATTGTTGCCTGCTGTTGACACCTCCAAACTCTCAGGTCACTGCTGAGCTTGTCTGGTTTCATCAAAGTTCATTTTTTGTTGAGGTGATGACTATAGGGAAGTGAGGGTCGGTCAGTGGTGACCTGAGGACAGTTCTGCTGCTGCTGGCTTTTCCCATTACTTTATTCTCTGCTGATGATCATGACAGCACATATCTTCTTTTCAAAGCCCAGAGTGGTGGGGATGGGCATGTAGCTGATGGGCTATAAAAGTGTTACATAGCAGGCAACAGGATACAGTTGAGATCTCTGGCTGTTTTCCCAAAAAATTAAATCCCCTTGAGGTACACACTGGTCTTCCCCATGTTCCTGCATTACCCACCAAGTATATCTGGGTCCCTGAGCAAAAGCAATCCCACAAGTGAGTTTGCCTTTGCTTGAAGCAGGAATAATGCAAAACTGTCTTCCTCAGCAAACTCTTAATGTGCATCACAGGACCTTTATCTGCCCCCCTCCCCCATATATATGTATATATATATACTGTATGTAAAAGTTCTGACTGGGCTGGGCCAGCCCTGTTGGGGGATCACCTCATGTTGACCGACCAGGTGGCTTTTTGTAAATGTGTATCCCAATGTTTGAAAGTCCCACCACCCATTGCTCTCAGTGTAGTTTTTAACCATCCACTGTACCATTCCATTTTCCCAGAGGCAGGTGCATGGTAGGGGATGTGATATACCCACTCAATGCCATGCTCTTTGGCCCCCGTGTCTATAATGGTGCACTCCAGAAATGAGTCCCATGGTCTGATTCAGTTCTCTCTGGAGTGCTGTGTTGCCACAAAATCTGTTTCTCAGGGCCCAGGATAGTGTGGCACAGTGGCGTGGGGCACAGCATATGTTTCCAGCCATCCAGTGGTTGCTTCCCCCATGGTAAGCACATGGCACTTGCCTTGGCAGGTTGGTGGGAGTGTGATCTAGTCAATGTGCCAGGCCTCCCCATATTTGTACTTCAGCCATTGTCCTTTATACCAGAGAGGTTTTAACCGCTTGGCTTGCTTAATTGCAGCACATTTCACATTCATGAATAACCTGGGCGATAGTGTCCATTGTTAAGTCTGCCCCTCGATCACGAGCCCATCTGTGTGTTGCATCTCTGCCTTGATAGCCTGAGGTGTCATGGGGCCACGGGGCTAAGAACAGTCCACCCTAAGTCCATCTGAGCCACTTCAATCTTAGCAGCTTTATCCACTTGTTGGTTGTTCTGGTGTTCCTCGGTGGCCCGACTCTTGGGTACATGAGCACCTACATGATGTACCTTCACCACCAGGTTCTACACCCTGGCAGCAGTATCTTGTCACAGTGCAGCAGCCCAGATGGGTTTCCCTCTGTGTTGTGTGGTGACACCCCCACGGGGCATTTGCCACCATCCATGAGTCAGTGTAGAGATAAAGTACTGCCCACTTTTCTCGTTCAGCAATGTCCAGGGCCAGCTGGATGGCTTTCACCTCGGCAAGCTGACTCGATTCACCCTCTGCTTCAGCAGTTTCTGCAACTTGTTGCTGGGGACTCCATACAGCTGCCTTTCATCTCCCACGCTTTCCCACACCATGGCAGGAGCTATCAGTAAACAAGGCATACTGCTTTTCACTTTCTGATAGTTCCTTATGTGGTGGGGCCTCTTCAGCACGCATCACCTCCTCCTCTGGTGACATTCCAGACTCTTTGCTCTTGGGCCAGTCCATGATGAATTCTAGAATTCCTGCACAACTGGGATTTCCTGTTCTAGCTTGTTGTGTAATTAGTGCAGCCCACTTACTCCACGTAGCATCAGTTGCATGATTTATATTTTGTATACTGCATAATCCCCAGTGGTAAGTAGAATTGAAGCCTAGGGTTGTGATCTGTTCTGGAAGACACAGAAATGTCTTTGAAATAATTTATGGCTAAAGTTACTGATGCTTCATCACACCAGAAAGAAGTTTCAGAACTTCTTGTCTGAAGGATAGTATTTTAATTATGGAGCAGGATCCTTAGCTCTTTACCCAGGAGAAGTGCCTCAGAAGAGGCACTCTTCTGGTAGCAACTGACACATACTCACTAGTGCTGAATAGGTCTAGAATCAAGCCCTGCAGTGGCATGCTGAAGGTTTGTTTAGTAAGAGATACTGACTGTAAGGGGCAAAACCTTCAGCAGTTGTTAGCAGGTCAGTGATGGGACTTAGTGGAATTCAGGTGGTGAAAGCTGACCTTTCTTAAGCTGCTTCCTGCTCCACTGTTGAGAGGCAGGGAGCTACTGAAGGAAACACCAAGGGAATTGTTAAGCAGTTGTTACTCGAGTCTGGAGCATAGTTTGAATTTGTGGAGTGGAGTTTAATTAGCACCATAGTGGAGTTGAGGGTTCAGCCTTCCAGTTAACATTTTATATCAAAGAAACAAATTCTAAATGGTCAAATAAAATTTTCTAAATAATTCATTGGGTTTTGTCTTTTATAGTATCTTCTTATTTTTGTCTTGATTTTGCTTTGTAGTTAAAGTGACCACGCTTGTGTTATTTGCACAGCCTGTTACAAAGAAGTGAGCTGACAGGGTATAGTGCAGTAAACACACATCCTTGACATTTACCCAAAGTACTTGTGCACCTTTTGTACCTCCTTTTTGAGGCTTCTCCAGATTAACTCCTACACCCTTAAATTATCATCATCTTTTTGTATGAACAACTCTTGTTGTCTTAGGAGGTTTTATCTGTTTTTCCTGGGATAAATAGATTTCATTGTGTTGCTGTGGTTTCTGTACTTCAGATTTTCTAGTTCCATTAGTTCTACAGGTGTAATCTTTCTACTGCTTAATTTTTCTTCCTTAAATCTTTTTGGTGTATTAAAAAATACGGTTTCTCCTTCTGGTGTTGAGACTACAGCGTGTAATTCCCATTCAGACTTTAAACGTTCAGAAACTACATAATATAAGTGGATGATGGGGGTCTTTTGAATGACCACAGACATGAAGGATACAGCTTCTTAGTAAAAATATTTAGTCTCCATGTCTTATAAAAGATGTAGATGCAAGAGTAATTCCTGTATTCATGAACTGATGTCTTGCATTTACTGCTAAAATCTGGAAATGTTCATCAGGTTGCAGGATGTCTCAATATAAATAGTGTCTTAAACCTCTGCCTGCCAGCATTAATTTCTGGCTTTGGTCAGCTTCCCCTCTATGCCTTCTTTTGTGACATGACAGATTCTAACTTCTCTTTTCACCTGGTTGTCTTTTTCTGTAGGCAAGAAGTACCTCTTTGTGTATGGTGGCCGCTCTGCTCTGGAGCCTGTGCTGGGGGACTGGTATTTCTTGCACACTCAAGACCTTTCCTGCACTGGGGTAAGAACTTAAGGAGGCCTGAGAAGTAGAAATAGCCTTCGCTTTGTAGGTGTGTGCTGCTGTGTTGCGAGGCCAACTAAATTACAGAGATATTGCCATATTGAAGAGGATGACATTGGCAGTACTGACACACTCCATTGTGGTTAGAATCAGAGCTAACTTCTGAACACCTTGGCATTTATTGGAATATAGTCTTCACAGAATACTTGAGGTTGGAAAGGACATTTGGAGATCATCTAGTACAGCACCCTTACTTAGAGCAGTTCTAACTAGAGCAGGTTGCTCATGATATTGTCCAGTTGGGTTTTGATGATCTCCAAAGATGGAGCCTTCACAACCTCTTGGGCAACCTATCAGGGCCTAATAGGAAAATGTGAGGGGTTTTTATGCTTAAGTGGGGCTTTTTTTTGTATATCAGTTTGTGCCCATTGCCTCTTGCCCTGACTCTGGGCACTACTGAGCACATTCTGTCTGTCTTTTTTCATCTCTCCCAGTTGGCATTTACACATGTTGATAAGATTTCCCTGTGAGCCTCCTCGGTCACTGAGGCAGGCAGCTCACTCAGTTGCTGAACAATCTGCAGTGGATGCTCCAGCATGCAGGGAGGTTCCTGAACTGCAGAAACCTCAGGGGAGCAGCCACAACCAAGCTTCTCACGCCTGTAAAAGAACCCCTTGGGGAGCACTGTGACCAGGGTAGGCAGATGGGGCACAGCGCAGCTCTGCCAAGCAGAACCTGGTGATTTAAGGCATAGAGGAAAGTTGTGACAAGTTCCTGCAGCAGGTGCATTTCCTCTATGACTGCCTCACCTTCCCAGGTGCCCTTGTACAACAGGTACGAGGTTCTGGAAGTGGAACCAGATGATGAGGGAGATGGTCCATCTAACTTGGAGGTGTTGCCAAGGTTAAGTTGGCCTGTGCCCTGCATCAAACCACTTCCATTAAGAAAAAAAGGTATTATTTTCATAGGAGATTCTCTTCTGAGTGGAACAGAAGGCCTAACACTCTGACCAGACCCACTTCCTTAGGGAAATCTGCTGCCTCCATGGGGCATTTGTCAAAGATGTTACAAGAAAACCTCCTACCCTGGTATGACCCTTGGATTATTATCCATTATTGCTTTTTCATGTAGGCAGCAATGAAATTTTTATAAGATTCCAAAGGCTATCAAAAGATAGTACAGGTCCTTAGGACGACTGGTTAAGGGTTCAGGAGCACAGGTTATATTTTCCTCCACCCTTCCAGTTACACAGAATGATGAGGGAAGAAATGGGAAGACCCAGTAAATCAATACCTGGCTCCAAGCCTGGTGTCACTGGCAGAATGTGAGGTTTTTTGATCTCAGGTCAGTCTGCATGACGCCAGGCTGCTGGCAACACGTGGAGTGCACCTTTCTCAAGGGGGAAAAGGGGGTTCTGCACAGGAGTTAGCAGGGTTTATTGGAAGAGCTTTAAATTAGATTTGAAGGGATAAAAGAGTATAAAATGAGGTTCAGTAGTGATAAGCCCCAGGACAGCACATCAGTGGTTGAGGGACAGCATTTGGGCAAGGCCTTTCACTCCACTCCATGATGTGCTGAGTACACTGGAGCACATTTGAAATTTCTTTATGCTAATGTTTGCATGAGGAGTAAACAAGAGGGGCTGGAATCTTTGGCCTAGTCCCAGAGCAAGACATCATGGAGCAAGAAACCTTGTGGAACAAGTCCTGTGACTGATGTCTCATGGTGGATCGTTTTAGGCTCTACAGGAGGGATAGGCAGGGCAAGTGAGGCTGGAGGGGTGGCTCTGTGTGTAAAGGAGGAGTTGGATTGTGTGGTGTGATGCTTGCAGTTGGCAATGACACAGTTGGGAGCCTCTGTGTAAGGATTAAAGGAAAAGCCAATAAAGCAGATGATGTGGGAGTCTACTATCAGCCACCCAGGCAGGACAATAATAGTGATGAATTACTCTGTTAGGAGCTAAGGGATATCTATAGATCAGCTGCACTTGTCCTTATGGGTGATTTTAACTTCCTAGATGACAACTGGGAACCTCATGCAGGAAATTCCTGAAGCATGTTGAAGATAACTTCTTGGTGCAGGTACTAAAGGAGCCAGCTAGGAAAGGTGCCCTCCCAGATCTGTTGTTTGTAAACAGTGAAGGACTCATGGGCATAGTGGTGATTGGTGGTTGTCTTAGTCACAGTGACTATGTGAAGTAGTTGAGTTTCAAATTGTTGGTGATAGGACAACTGCCAGCAAAACTTTGACACAGGATACAGGAACTTTGTGCTGCTGAAGGAACTAGTTAGGAAGGTGCCCTGGGAATCTGCTTTTGAAAGCACTGATGACCATGAATGCTGGTCAGTTTTTAAGAGCACAGGAGCAGTCAATTCCAAAGTGTCAGAAGTCAAGCAAGTGGAGCAGAAGGCCAGCTTGGCTGAGCAGGAATCTTCTGAAACTACAGGTGGAATGTGTATTGAAAGCAAGGACAGGTGACACAGGGGACTACAGGGATGCTGTTTACCACTGTGGGGAGAAGTTTTGTGTGGCCAAGCTTGATGAGAGTTCAAGCTGGCCAGCACTGTGAAGGACAACAAAACAGCAAAAAAAGAGAGAGAAGCTAGTTTAAAAGCAAAAGGAGGATCAGAGATAACATGAAGATGTTACTTGATGAGGTCGGGCACCTCACAAGTAGGGTCATAGAAAAAGTGCAGACTTTAATGACTTCTTTGCCTCTGTGTCTGACACAGATGGTATGTCTCTCACAATATGTCCCTTTGTTAGGGACCGTAGTGATAGGCCAAGGGGTAATGAATTAAAACTTAAACAGGGGAAGTTTAGATTGGATATAAGGAAGAAATTCTTTACTGTAAGGGTGGTGAGGCACTGGAATGGGTTGCCCAGGGAAGTTGTGAATGCTTCGTCCCTAGCAGTGTTCAAGGCCAGGCTGGACAGAGCCTTGGGTGCCATGGTTTAGTGAGAGCTGCCCCTGCCCATGGCAGGGGGTTTGGAACTGGATGATCTTAAGGTCCTTTCTAACCCTAACTATTCTATGATTCTAATATCCTAAACACAGTGTCCAGCACACAGCTAAACAAGTACATAGTATGATGAGTGAATAATTGGCTAATGGGTCAGGCTCAAAGAGTTACAGTAAATGGGGTTACATCAGGTTGCTCATCTGTGGTGTTCATGGGGCTCAATTATAGGGCCAGGGCTCTTTAATGTCTCTATAAATGATCTGGATGCAGGAATTGAATGTACATTAAGTATATTTGCTTGTGATACTAAATTAGGAGGAGCTGTGGATTCCCTTGAGAGGCCTTACAGAGAGATCTGGGTAGACCAGAGAGCTGGGCAGTCACCAACCATATGAAGTTCAACAAGAGCAAGTGCTGGATTCTGTTCCTAGGATGGAATAATCCTGGTTGTATGCACAGACTGGGAGACAAGAGACTGGAGAGCAGCCCTGCAGAAAGAGATGTGGGGATCTGAGTTGATGGCAAGTTGAACATGAGTCACCAGTGTGCTCTGGTAGCCAAAAGGGCTGACCATGTCCTGGGGTGCATTGTGCGCAGCATCACTGGCCAATTGAGGGAGGCAATTGTGGCACTGTACTGCACTGTGGTCCCCACAGTGTGGCCCCATCTTGGGTGCTGTGCACAGTTTTGGGTGCCTCAGTACAAAAAGGGCATTAGAGTGTGTCCAGATGAAGGCAGTCGAGATGGTAAAGGGTCTCAGGGGCAAGATTTATGAGGGGTGGCTGAGGTAACTTGATTTGTTCAGCCTGGAGAACAGAAGGCTGAAGGGTGCCTTCATCACAGTCTACAACTTGTTTACAGGGAGCAGCAGAGGGGGAACTGCTCTTCTCCTTTCTCTGTGACCAGCAACAGTGCATGAAGGAATGAAGTTGTGTCAGGGGAAGTTCGGATCCAACATCAGGAAAAGGCTTTTCACTGAGAGGGAGGGTGGGTGGTCACTGGAACAGTTTCCCAGGGGAATGGTCATGGTACTGAGCCTGTCAGAGTTCAAGAAGCATCTGGACGATGCTTTTAGTTACATGGTTCAATTTTAGGTAGTCCTGCAAGGAGCATGGAATTAGACTCAATGATCCCTTGCAGGGTAGTGTGAAATTATTTGGAAATCAGACTTTGAGAATATTAGAATTCACTCTATGGAAATGGTGGTGTCTCACAGGATCAGTCCTGGGGTCCAGTTATTAATGACAAGAATGATGATGTCAGCTGCCTATATTATATAGGCAGAGTAGCTCAATAGTACATTAGTGGACAAGATGAAAATTCAAAATTACTTTGACATGCAAGAAATACTTGTGGAGAAAACAAACTGCAGTTTATTAAAGATAGACTGAATTTTAAATATAGTGCGTAGCACAATTATATGGTGAGACATGCATAGTTACAGGAGATAATAGAATCATGGAAGGGTTTGGGTTGAAGGGACCTTAGAGCTCCTCCAGCTCCAACCCCTGCCTTGGGCAGGGACACCTTCCACTAGAGCAGCTTGCTCCAAGCCCCTGTGTCCAACCTGGCCTTGAACACTGCCAGGGATGGGGCAGCCACAGCTTCTCTGGGCACCCTGTGCCAGTGCCTCAGCACCCTCCCAGGGAAGAGCTTCTGCCTAAGAGCTCATCTCAGTCTCCCCTCTGGCAGTTTTAAAGTCATTCTCCTTTGTCCCACCACTAGTTGCTCTTACAAAAAGTCCTCTCCAGCTTTCTTATAGCTTCCCTTTAGGTACTGGACCACAAGCTAAACATGAATAAGCAATAATCATGCTGTTGTGGAATGCCTAAACTGTGTGTTCAGGTGTGTAACCAGGAATGTTATCTGTAAGACATGAGTTAGTCCTTTCTATTCTTTTCAATGCATTTATTCTCAGTGGGACCCTTGTTAAATACTCAATGCAGGTTCCTGAAAAAAAGAGGTGTCTGGGATGCAAATACAGTTCCATAATGGTATTCAGTGAGATTAACCAACTGCATACCTTGCAGTGGAAGATTATGAGGGACTTGCAACTGTTGAGTGTGGAGAAGAGTCAGGATACAAATAAATCTTCAGCTATGTAAAATATAGCTGCAGAGAGGACAAACAAGTTGTTCTGAAATTTTACTTTGAGTAGTACAGGGAATCTATAGAGAGGGCAACTGGACACTAAGAAAAGCTGTTGTGAAGTGCTGCAACAGACTGCCTAAAGAGGAGAGAAATTCTTGTCATGACAGACTTATTTAAGCTATTAAATAACCATGTGTTCAGATGATAATAAATAGAGTTGGGTTTGCTTTAGGAGAAAGGGATGAACCAGATGACCTGAAATTTTCTCAACAGCTTGCTTGCTATGAAATTCCTTTACACCCCTTGTCTTACACAGTTTCCTTTCGTGCTTGCATATTAGTGCTTGCATATTAGTGTTGCAGTTGAGCATTTTATCTTGCTCTGGTTTGAGCCACTGGTCACCTGCTTTGCTGGTCACTGCATTAGTCCATGTGTTGGGAAACTTGTGGTTCTCAGGTGTCTGTCTTGAACAGAAAGCAGCATACAAGAATGCAGAGAAAGATGCCTCTAATAAATGTGCAGAAATAAAGCCCTTGTTGTGGTTTAAGCCCAGCCCATAACTCAGAACCACACACCTGCTCACTCACTCCTACCCTTCTTCTCCTCCACCCCCTGCCCCCCCCCCCAGCTCCCAGAGGAATGGGGTGGAGAATAGAAAGAATGTTACTCCCATGGGTTATACCCACTAAGGTATAACACAAACCACTACTGCTACCACCAATAATAATGATAGGGGAAATAACAATGGGAGAGAATATAAAACTAAAAGGGGGAAAAGGAAAAGAAAACAACAAACGCAAGTGATGCCAAATACAATTGCTCAGCACCTGCCAACCAATACCCAGCCTGACCCAAGCAGTGATCTGGGCCTCCTGGGTGACTCCCCCCAGTTTCTATACTGGGTATGATGTGCTGTGGGATGGAATACCCCTTTGGCTAGTTTGGGTCAGGTGTCCTGTCTCTGCTTTCTCGTGGCTTCCAGTGCCCCCCCTCACTGGCAGAGCATGAGATTGAAAAGTCCTTGATTGGAGTAAACATTATGCAGCAGCAACTAAAAACACCAGTGTGTCATCAGCATTGTTCTCATGCTAAAGTCGAAATGCAGCACTGCACCAGCTACTAAGAAGGAGAAAAATAACTGCTAGAGCTAAACCAGGACATCCTTCTAAAGGGTATGATATTAAATATGAATGATATTAAATAAACTGGGGGCCAGAGAAAACTGGAGATAGTGAAAATGGAAACACTTCTGCTTAGCAGTCCCTAGAGAAAGATGTGTAGGTTAGTGTTTTTCTGGTTGTTTCCTGTCACACTTTGTTCTCCTCCAGCAACTGTTCTATCCTGTGGCAGGAAAGAATGTTAATCCCACAGGACATGCAAACGGAAGAGATCGTTTAAGAGCCTAGACACGAAGAAGGCGCTTAGGCTGGCAAACTTCAGCCTTGGACTTGTTTTCCTAGATTCCTGTGGAGGGTCCAATACCAGAAAGCCGTCACTCTCACTCTGCCTGTAGCTGGAAAGGAGGTGTGGTAATTGCAGGAGGTCTGGGAGCAGCTGAGCAGCCATTAGGTTCAGTTTTCTTTCTGAGGGAGCTTGAACATGGCTTTCAATGGCAGACAGTAGAGACACACCCCCCTCTCATACCAAGGTAAGCAGAAGGCTTTCAGTAGTGGATCTTTGGTCTGTCTCTGTCTCTGTTACTAATGGAGTTCAATCTCATTTCAAACTCACAGGTATTCACATACTGCACATGTGCATGATGGAAAACTTCTGCTTGTTGGTGGAGTGTGGTTTCACTCATCCTCTGTGCCAGGCATCACTGTCATTGACTTAATGAGCGGTCTGTGCTTGGACTGTATGATTAATGTGGTAAGTACTGCAATTTTTTTTTTAGGGTAAACAGTGTCTGGTGAAGGAATGTGGTAACTTCAAGGCTATTCCCTGAAATGGAGTCAGAAATGCAAAGTAAGCAGATTCATGAGTGGAATAGATATTCCCTGTTTGACACAGAATCTGATTTTGAAGTGCTTTTACCTGCTCAGAGAGCATAATAACGTTAAGAGAGTGTGAGTGTGCGGAAGACTGGAGGGCATGGGGCAGCTCTATTCCAGACAAGGGCACGGAGCTGCTCTATTCCGGGCAAGGGGAGCAGAGCTGAGATGGGCACAAGCACAGTAATTTCAAGATGTCTGTAGAAGAAGAGAACATATTAGACCAGAGCCTGAGTTAGCTGTGTGCTGTAGGTGCTGCCAGAAATACAAGAAGAAAACAGCGTGGAAGTACTGGAAACTCTACTTATTAAACATAAGAAAACTAGTGTAAGGGTGATTGAGCACTGAACAGGTTGCTGAGAGAGGCTGTGGTGTCTCCATCATTGGAGATACTCAAAACCTGACTGGGCAAGGTACAGAGCAACCTACTGTAGTTGAGCCTGCTTTAAACAGGCGTGGTTGGACTAGATGTTACTCAAGAAATCCCTTCCAGCCTCAACTACTCTGTGCTTCTCTTCTGTGATTGAGCCTTGGGTGACATGGTTTAGTGTGAGGTGTCCCTGCCCATGGCAGGGGGGGTGGAGCTGGATGATCTTGAGATCTTTTCCAAGCCTAACTATTCTATGATTCTGTGATTCAGTGAAGAACAATCATAAGGTGATTTTGGCATACTCTGGGCAAAACAGCCTAAATCCACGAGTAGTCCTCATCTGTGGTAATACTGCCTGGAGTACAAGGAAGGCATAGAACTGGGACAGTTCCAGAGGAAGCCACAGACATGATCAGAGGCTTGGAACACCTCCTGTGAGGACAGGCTGAGAGAGAGTTGGGGTTGTTCAGCCTGAAGAAAAGGCTCTGGCAAGACCTTATTGCAGCCTTTCAATACTTAAAGGTGGCTTATAAGAAAGATGGGGACAGACTTAGAATCATAGAATAGTTAGAGTTGGAAATGACCTTAAGATCATCTAGTTCCAACCCCCCCTGCCATGGGCAGGGACACCACACACTAAACCATATCACCCAAGGCCTCGTCTAACCTGGTCTTGAACACTGCCAGGGATGGAGCATTCACAACCTCCCTGGGCAACCCATCCCAGTGCCTCAGCACCCTAACAAGAAAGAATTTCCTCCTTATATCCAATCTAAAGTTCCCCTGTTTCAGTTTGAACCTGTTACCCCTTGTCCTGTCACTACAGTCCCTAATGAAGAGTCCCTCCCCAGCATCCCTACAGCCCCCTTCAGATACTGGAAAGCTGCTCTGAGGTCTCCATGCAGCCTTCTCTTCTCCAAGCTGAACAGCCCCAACTTCTTCGTAGGGCCTGTATCAATAAGACAATAAGACAGTGGTTTTAAACTAAAATAGGGTAGATTCAGACTAGATATAAGGAAGAAACATTTTACAGTGAGGGTGGTGAAACAGTGAAACAGGTTTCCCAGTGAGGTTGTAGATGCCCCATCCCTGAACACATTCAGGGTTGGACAGGGCTCTGAGCAACCTGATCTGGTTGAAGATATCCCTGCTTGTAGCAGGGGGGGTTGGACTAGATGATCTGTAAAGGTCCCTTCCAACCCAACCCCAAACTCATTATTCTGTGAGAAAGCTTCAGTTGTTTGACAAGTTTTTATTTATCTTTTACATAAAGAAACAAATTTCTTTAGATACTTGTACATACGGATCCTGTCCTTGGTGAAACTGGGATTTGTGACTGGTCTGGTTTGTATCATAGGCAGTATGTGTGCATCTGGCTGACCTTGCAGCATTTTCCTGAGGGCATAAAGCATGAAGTATGCTTAAATGTAGTTTATTTTTTTTTTCTTGCTGTCTATAGCAGCAGTTAGAAGTGGCCCAGGATCCTTCGGCTAAATAGACTTCTGTTGCTGGATAGCAGCGAGGACGGTTAAAGTAGTAATAAAGTTGTATCTAAAAAAACAGAACCATTTACATGGCATACGTGGATGCAGGTGGATGGATTGGGAGCTGCCTTTGCTTATGAGCTGGTTTTTTTTACTTAGGTGAAACTCTGTAGGCTTTTGAACCTCCCAGTACTGAGCTAAAATATTGATAGTACTGTACAGTGTATGTGGATTGGTCCTAAGTTTTGAAAGACTGGAATTACCCAGTGCTGCACAGAAAATCACTGACATTATTAGTATTAGTGTTTGATACATGCACTAGAAAGTGATAGCACCAAATCCATTGACTCACAGCTTTCTCTCTGCTTGAAAAAGCCATGGAACAGTTAATGTGAACAGATAAGTCTGTCTTAACCTTTCTCCAAGAATCTAGATGAGGATACCCTTATAAAATTTGCATTCTGTCTTGAGCATTCTACAAAGGAAGCCTCTATAACATATCCTCTTCAGACTCTAGTGGCCCCAATGATAGTTGAATTGTCAACACAGGAGTTTTGTTACTGCTGCAGTCTGTTATCTGCAACAAGTGTCTTTCCAAGGTTCACTTTCCTGAGCTTTCAAATATTGGAGGTCATCATGAAAGAGCATCTCTTCAGATTATCAGATAAACAGGTTATAAATCAGATGTTTCTTGTACTGCAGATGTATCAGTGTATGTTTTAGGCTGTCTCCTTTGTGGTGAAGAGGGCATGATTGTTCATTGCTTCTTCTGATGTAAGAACTAGGAGACATCAAAAGAAGCTGGTTGGCAATACTCTTCAAAAGAGTGCTTCATATGACACATAGGTAAGCTCTGGAGCTCCTTGCCACAGGATATGAATGCCGAAGGTTTACACAGATTCAGAAAGCAATGGGCTATGTTCCTGAAAGGAAAATCATTAAGGGTTCAGGGTTACAAAGACATTGTCATTAACAATCTGTTGTGCTATAAGCCAAGCCTGCAACCCAGAACCACGCAGCCGCTCACTCACTCCCCTCCTTCCTCCCCCTGCTCCCAGAGGGATGGGGAAGAGAATTGAAAGAATGTAACTCCCACGGGTTGAGATAAGGACAGTCCAGTAACTAAGGTATAACACAAACCACTGCTGCTACCACCAATAATAATAATTATAAGGGAAATAACAAGGGAAGAGAATACAACTGCTCACCACCCGCTGACCGATACCCAACCCGACCCGAGCAGTGATCTAGCCCTTCTGGGTAGCTGCCCTCAGTTTCTATACTGGGCATGACGTGCTGTGGTATGGAATACCTCTTTGGCTAGTTTGGGTTAGGTGTCCTGTCTCTGCTTCCTCGTGACTTCCCCTCCTCCTTGGCAGAGCATGAGACCCAGAAAGTCCTTGGTCAGAGTAAACATTACTGAGCAACAGCTAAAACCATCAGTGTCATCAGCGCTGTTCCCAGGCTGAAAGTCAAAACCACAGCACTGCACCAGCTACTAAGAAAGAGAAAAATGACTGCTACTGCTGAACCCAGGACACAATCAGTGAACTGCAAGTTGTTGAGTGGAATATACTAGAGGAGCGTATTGTGATTTCCTTGGTCATGTGTTCTCTAGCTATTTATTTTTTTCACATTTGTGTGTGGTATAGTGGACTAAATGGGACCCACTTTGATTGTTCTTAACTTCCTAATGAAGGTATGATATGAAATAACCTCTACAGCATTGTATGAAGTACACGTGTTGAAGTCTTGTATGTTCAAAACCTTTTTTTAGGAGCATCTGGAGTGGCCATTAATGCTACATAATCATAGTACTGTCTTTCTGCCAAATGAGGAGGAGTTGTTGATTATTGGTGGTGGGGGGAACTGCTTCTCCTTTGGGACACACCTGAACCCAGAGCCTGTCTCATTGAGCCTCAGCAACATCCTGACAAACACTGACAGGGACCAGACAGGACTGAACCCTGCTGCTGCATCGTGGTGAGAGATCTATTCACTTGTAGGTCCAAGAGCAGCAAAATATTTCCACAAGGGTTTTGTATCCAGAATGCATTTGTAAAAGTGTGGGCTTAGGGGGGACAGTTATGACAAGGGGTTTCATACGTCTGTCTTGGTTTTGTACTGCTCTTTATTTTGCTGTAAATAAAGTATCTCAAAGGTAGCTCTGTGGTGATAGCAGTAAAGGTGAAGTGAGGAGCAATGCTGTGTTCAAAAGGGACGACTGCACAGTGCTGTGCAGTGGAGGTACAGGAGGTACAGCGAAGTCACTGAGTCACAAAGCCCTTGGAAATGTTCAATCATAACCAAATAAGTGAAAGGAAGTGTAGCATGTGTCATACCTGAAAGTTTCAAAAGCTCATGTCCAGTCTAGATATAACAAACTCCTGCTCCTCTGGTTTCTTGTTGCCAGGACTCTGCTAGCTGCAGCCCTTGCTTGTTTCCTGGAAGGGTCACAGCATACCAGTGCAAGAGGGGCAGGGGGATGCTGCATAAAATCATTACTTGGTCTCATTGTTAACATTTGAACTTTCCTACATCTGGAAAGCTGCCATGGTGAGGACACTGTGCATGGAACACAATTTGAGCACAGTGTTAAAACTAGGATGATCTTGAGAAGGCACATACACTTTTGCCTGTGTTTTATGCAAGATGACCAGATTAGCTCAGGGACGTTTTTATGTTGGGGAAAGCCCTGTGGAAGATGACTAGAGGGAGACTCCTTGGAGCATGAACTAGAAAATGAGAAAGGGAGATCTCTAAAGTTATTGCAGTACCAAACTCAGTTGAGACTGCTGATTGGGGTCACATCTGTAGGCACCCAGAAATCCTACTGCCTTCTGAATTCTTCAATGAGAAGAGGATAAACCTGTGAAATTAAGAGGGTGGAATAACCTCAGTGGCTCTTCATGCCATGGGGCAGTGCGTGGGTCACTCTGGAGTCACTGTGGGTTGTTATGAGGATCTGTGGGTCACCATGGTGTCTATATGGGTCACTATGGAGGGCCCATAGGTTGCTGTGGAGTCTCTGTGGGTTCCTATGGTGTGTTAGTTGCTGTGCATCTCTGTGGGATGCCTGTAGGGTCTATGGGGCTCTATGAGTTTCTCTGGGTGGCTATGGGACATGTAATTAAAAAATGTTACTAAAAGAAAACAAAAAACAAATCTGAAGAAAAAAACAGGAAATAAAGCTGAATAAAACTTCATAAAGTCAATAAAAAGCAAATAAAATGATTATTACAAAGTAAATAAAAGTGAATAAGCCTGAATGAATCTCAGATAAAAGTGAATGGAAGTTCAAAAAAAAAATCTGTAAAAAAGTCCATTGGTGTTGGAGTACTTATGGGGCACAGAGGGATAGTGGGGGCTCTATGGGGTGCCCATGGTGGTTGCTGCTGCTGCTGCTGTCACCCCAATCCTGGTGATGTCATGACACCATAAGTCAATAAAAGCCATGGGGCGCATTTTGAGCATCTATAGGGAACTGTGGGGCAGTCTCTGGGTCACTGTGTGGTGTTTATAGGTCTCTGTAGGTCGCTATGGTGTGTCCATGGTTCATCAGGAGTCCCTCTGCGACCCTATGGGATGTGTATAGAAAGACTATGAGGCTGTGGGGGATGTACAGGGGTCTGTGGGGCTCTTGGAGGTGTCCGTGGGTTGCTCTGGGTCACTTTGGGATATTTGAAGAAAAAAAAATAAATTACTAACAGAGACTAAATCAAATGTGGAGAAAACTGAATAAAAAGGGAATAAAAAGTGCATTAAAGTGATTAAAAAGTGAATAAAAATACATAAAAATGAACAAGCCTGAATGAAACTCAAATAAAAATGAATGAAAGACGCGCCCGGGTCCCGTCGGTCGGCTCCGCCCCCTTCGGGAGGCTTCGGCTGCGCTTGGCACCCTTCTTCTCCTCTCGGGTCCCTTCGGGCGGCTTCGTCCCTTTTGGGCGGCTTCGGCTCCCCTCGGGCAACAGCCGGTATTTCCTCACTTTTGCCTTAGAAAGTACTGGGAACGAGGGAATTACATCACGTTTACGTCACGAAGCAATGGAAAGTGGGAATTACATCACTTTTACCGCATAAAGCAGTGGGAAGGCGGGGGGAGGGAAAGGGCGGTGCCATCTTGGGATCTTCCTTCTTCCTCCCCGTGGTAACTGCCGCACCGCGCCTGCGCCGCCGCCATTTTTCGTTCCAAGATGGCGCTGGCGAGCGTGGTGCGGGCAGAGGATCCGCTCCTGTTCCGTTCCCTCCTTCCGGGCCCCCCGGCATCGCCGCACCCCTCCTCCGGTAGCAGCTGCCGCTGCTGCCCGGGCTCGCCATCCACCTCCTGCACGGCACCACCACCCTGGCCTTCGAGGTACGGATATCTGGGGAGGGGGTGGGCGCGGTGTGGTGCCACTCGCTACTCCATCCTGTGTCTGGAGCTCGGTACTGCAGCCCGGGCTCCGCGCATTACCCATGGCGCTCCCTTTGTCCCCGCTGCTGTTCCCGGAAGTGCCTGTGCCACGTGGTGGCTGCTGGCTCCCGGTTTGCAGTGGCCTCCGGTCCACTTTCGCATACGGATGGGCTCGTGGGGTGCTTGTGGCCGCAGCCCGGTGCTCGTGTACCGGTTCTGGTCCATTCGCTGCCGCCTTCTCCGTCCCCGACTGCCGCCATCGCCCCCTCACACCGAGGGACACCGCTGATTGGCCGCCGGTCTCTAGGCGAGAAAGCGTCCCCTCAGCTGCGCGCTGTAGCTAAGGGAGAGGCGGGCAGGGATTGGACGACGCTGACCCTCCGTCTCCATGTCCCACCCTCGCTGTGAGGGGAGCGGCGCGCTGATTGGCTTTGAGCGGCCGAGGTGATAAAGGGGGCGGTGTAGGGCGGGAGCCATTTCTTCGGCGCAGTGGCACTGACGGAGGTAACGCCGGCCTCGGCAGAGAGGGGCGGTGACGGGTGAGGTATTAAAAGGGGCGGCGGGGAGGTGGTAAGGACGGCGGTGGCAGGAGTGGCGCGGGATTTCGGGGAGGCGGAGGCCAGAGCGGCAGCAGCACATGCGGCAGGATGAGCAGGGGCGGTGCCGGCGCGGAGGGAGGAGGCGATGCAGCGGAGGAAGAGGCGGTGGCAGCGGGCGAGGTAGTAAGACAGAGGCGGGGGGGGGGGGCGTGTTCAGCGACGCCGGCCAGAGCTGCAGTAGCAGGCGCAGCAAGGGCAGTGGGCGGTTCCAACGGCAGCGGCGAAGGTTGGGCGAAGGCGACCGGAGCGGCGGCAGCGGGAGACGGAGGAATGGTGTCGGGCGCCTGGGGTGCTTGTGGCCGCAGCCCGGTGTTCTCGCACCAGTTCTGGTCCCCCCACCTTCTCCTCCTTCGTCCCCGACTGCCGCCATCGCCCCCTCACACCGAGGGACACCGCTGATTGGCCGCCAGTCTCTAGGCGGGAAAGCGTCCTCTCAGGTGCGCGCTGTAGCTAAGGGAGAGGCGGGCAGGGATTGGACGACGCTGACCCTCCGTCTCCATGTCCCACCCTCGCTGTGAGGGGAGCGGCGCGGTGATTGGCTGGGAGGCGGGAGCGGGCGAGGTGGGGGAGGAGAGGGAGCCATTTTTTGGGCGGCAGTGGCAGTGATGCAGGGAGCGGCGGCCTCGGCAGCAGAGGCGGTGACGGGCGAGGTAGTAAAAGGGGCGGCGGTGGGGAGGCAGCGGTGGCGGGAGCGGCGCGGGGTCGTTTCGGGGAGGTGTAGGCAGAGGCGGCAGGAGCGGCAAGGGCAGGGGCGGTGCTGGCGGCAGGAGCGGCGGGGGAGGGCCTGTGCAGCGGCGGGGGGGGCGGTGACGGCGGCAGTGGGCGAGGTACTAAAAGCTGCGGGAGGGGGTTGGGGGGGGAGGCTGGGTTTAGCGGCGGCGGCTGTAGGAGCGGCTGGGGGGCAGAGACTAAGGGACTTACGGTTCATCAGTGCATTTAATTAAATTTGACTTACTTTATATACGACTGTATACATTTCTGTGAGTTTTAGTCGTGGTTTTGAGCCTTTTGTTCACTTTTATTCCCTTACTCAGTTTTTTATTGAGTTGTATTCACTTAATACTGACTTTTAGCCACTTTTAATTTTTTTCTCTTTATTCACTTTCTACTCGCTCTTTAGTCACATTTTTCAGGTTTTGGTTTTTTGTTTTCCAGTTTTTAATCACTTCTGTTTGCATTTGTTTACTTTTTATTGAGGCATAATCAGTTTTGCTCACTTCTACTCAGTTTTTTGTTCTGTTCTATTTACTTTTAATCACTTTTTATTCTGCTT